AACAAGTTCAAACAGGTGCCATTAATACAGGTAACGAGTGGAGGACAGAGGAGCCTCTTAAAGAAGAAGTTACAGGTCTGTGAGAGCCAGAAATCTTGCTTGTTTGTAGGTGACCAAATACTTATTTTCCACCATAATTTGCTAATAAATTCATTAAAAATCCTACAATGTGATTTTCTGGATTTTTTCCCCTCAATTTGTCTGTCATAGTTGACGTGTACCTATGATGAAAATTACAGGCCTCTCTCATCTTTTTAAGTGGGAGAACTTGCACAATTGGTGGCTGACTAAATACTTTTTTCCCCCACTGTAGTTAGCCTTATATGACTATAGTTAGCTCTATATGACTATATTTAGCCCTATAGTTAGCCTTATATGACTATAGTTAGTCCTATATGACTATAGTTATCCCTATATGACTATATATAACCCTATAGTTAGCCCTACATGACTATAGTTAGCCTTATATGACTATAGTTAGCCTTATATGACTATAGTTAGGCCAATATGACTATAGCTAGCCCTATATGACTATATTTAGCCCTATATGACTATAGTTAGCCTTATATGACTATAGCTAGCCCTATATGACTATAGCTAGCCCTATATGACTATAGTTAGCCTTATATGACTATAGATAGCCTTATATGAGTATATTTAGCCCTATATGAATCCTACCTTTCAAGAACATCTCATGAGTAGCAGACTCTTTTCCTTTCTTTCTGTGCCAAGCTGCAAGCATGCCTGTCGCAAAGCTGTTTTTCCTGTCTGGCACTGCTGTGTGACAGCCAACCTATCAGACTGTCCTGTGCTCTTGGTTATGCCAGGGATTAAATTATGTACAATGTATCAACTTTGCTTGCTCTGCTCGCTGCGTGTGTGTGTGTGTGTATGTATATATATATATATATATATATATATATATATATATATATATATATAATTTTTTTGTAATTTAGCAGACGCTCTTATCCAGAGCGACTTACAGGAGCAATTAGGGTTAAGTGCCTTGCCCAAGGGCACATCGACAGATTTTTCACCTAGTCGGCTCGGGGATTAGAACCAGCAACCTTTCGGTTACTGGCACAACGCTCTCAACCACTAAGCTACCTGCCGCCCCAAATGTAACAGCAGAAGACTGACCAGGGTCTGCATGCCCCCTTGCCATCACGACTAAATTATATATTTTTTAAACTGATGGAAGAATAAATACACAGGAAGAGTAGATGGAGAGTAGCAGGTGAATGATGGCTGGAAGGAGAAATAGGTGAATGATGGTTGGAAGGGGAATCAGGTGAGTGATGGCTGGAAGGGGAAAAATAGGTGAGTGATGGCTGGAAGGGGAAAAACAGGTGAGTGATGGCTGGATGGGGAAACAAGTGAGTGATGGCTGGAAGGAGATGCGGCTGGCTGATAACAGCTGCCACACGTGAGATGTGCATGAAAGTAAAGTGGACACAATCTGGACCCTTTCTTTCTAAAATTAGCCGCCAAAATTGTCGCAACCCCTATTACTAGCCTGTTCAACCTCTCTTTCGTATCGTCTGAGATCCCCAGAGATTGGAAAGCTGCCGCGGTCATCCCCCTCTTCAAAGGGGGTGACACTCTAGATCCATACTCTTACAGACCTATATCCATCCTGCCCTGCCTTTCGAAAGTATTTGAAAGCCAAGTTAACAAACAGATCACCGACCATTTCGAATCCCACCGTACCTTCTCCGCTATGCAATCTGGTTTCCGAGCTGGTCATGGGTGCACCTCAGCCACGCTCAAGGTCCTAAACGATATTATAACCGCGATCGATAAAAGACAGTACTGCGCAGCCGTCTTCCTCGACCTGGCCAAGGCTTTCGACTCTGTCAACCACCGCATTCTTATTGGCAGACTAAATAGCCTTGGTTTCTCAAATGACTGCCTCGCCTGGTTCACCAACTACTTCTCAGATAGAGTTCAATGTGTCAAATCGGAGGGCCTGTTGTCTGGACCTCTGGAAGTCTCTATGGGGGTGCCACAGGGTTCAATTCTCGGGCCGACTCTATTCTCTGTGTATATCAATGATGTCGCTCTTGCTGCTGATGACTCTCAGATCCACCTCTACGCAGACGACACCATTTTGTATACATCTGGCCCTTCATTGGACACTGTGTTAACAAACCTCCAAACGAGCTTCAATGCCATACAACACTCCTTCCGTAGCCTCCAACTGCTCTTAAACACTAGTAAAACTAAATGTATGCTCTTCAATCGAACGCTGCTTGCACCCTCCCGCCCAACTAGAATCACTACTCTGTGTGGGTCTGACTTAGAATATGTGGACAACTACAAATACCTAGGTGTCTGGTTAGACCGTAAACTCTCCTTCCAGACACACAAAGTTAAATCTAGAATCGGCTTCCTATTTCGCAACAAAGCCTCCTTCACTCATGCTGCCAAACATGCCCTCGTAAAACTGACTATCCTACCGATCCTTGACATCTATAAATCACTGCTAGGCAAATCTCTGTCTTATCTTAGTTCATTGGTCACCATAGCAACACCCACCCGTAGTATGCGCTCCAGCAGGTATATCTCACTGGTCATCCCCAAAGCCAACACCTCCTTTGGCTGCCATTCCTTCCAGTTCTCTGCTGCCAATGACTGTAATGAACTGCAAAAATCTCTGAAGCTGGAGACTCTTATCTCCCTCACTAACTTTAAGCATCAGTTGTCAGAGCAGCTTACCGATCACTGCACCTGTACACAGCCCATCCACCCAACTACCTCATCCCCATATTGTTATTTATTTTGCTCATTTGCACCCCAGTATCTCTATTTGCACATCATCTTTTGCACATCTATCACTCCAGTGTTAATACTAAATTGTAATTATTTTGCACTATGGCCTATTTATTGCCTTACCTCCATAACTTACTACATTTGCACACACTGTATATAGATTTTATATTGTGCTATTGACTGTATGTTTTGTTTATCCCATGTGTAACTCTGTGTTGTTGTTGTTTTTATCGCACTGCTTTGCTTTATCTTGGCCAGGTCGCAGTTGTAAATGAGAACTTGTTCTCAACTGGCTTACCTGGGTAAATAAAGGTGAAATAAAAATAATATTAGACAGGTGCATACAAGAGACTAGTTGCCCGTAGTTAAATGTTTTTTTCCTGAACTTACAAACAATTGACGTTATAAGCATTTTATATTTTTTATGTCTTTTTTTATTTAACTAGGCAAGTCAGTTAAGAACAAATTCTTATTTACAATGACGGTCTACCACAGTCACCAGCGGGTTCTTTAGATCGGTAGGGCCAAAAAAGTTGGTAGTATCATATGAAACAGTACTACGGTATTCTAAAATGTTGGTACCCTACGCCCAACACAGGCACATAAGGGGTGACATTTTCCCTGTCTAAATGGTCTATTAGCCACAAACATTTTATCTAGTGGAAAATCTTTAAACTTTGCTTTGAAAGATGACCATGATATGGTGTCTATTTATCCAGATTGAAAGTAAACCGTGCAAAAATGTGTTGCACGTGGTGTGTGACTCTGCTCTCTCCCCACAGCAAGGCTCGGTGCGTCTGCAGTGTGTGCGGGCCCTGCAGGGCCTCTACAAGGAGAAGGACTTAATTGGCCGCCTAGAGCTCTTCACCAGCAGGTTTAAAGTAGGTCTCCCTCTGCAGCCCTTTATCTGTTCTCTCCCTCTTGCTCTCTCTCTTTCTCTCTCTCTTTGTTTCTCTCTCTCTCATTCCCCCTATCTCTCTCTCTCTCTCTCTCTTTCTCTCTCCCTCTCTTGCTCTCTCATTCTTTGTCTTTCTTTATTTCTCTCTCTCTTTGTTTCTCTCTCGTTCTCTCTTTCTCTCTCGCTCTCTTTCTTTCTCTCTCTCTTTCTCTATTTCTCAATTTCTCTCTTTCTTTCTCTCTCTCACTTTCTCTCTCCCTTTCTTTTTGTCTGTCTCCCACAGTTTTTTCTGTCCTTCAGTGTCTACTTTCAATGTGTCCGTCCTTAGGCTCTGTACCAATTAGGATGTAGCACAACTCCTATGTTGAAAAGCTATCCACCATCACTGAGCATGTGTGTGTGCCCTCGCAGTTTGGACACTCACAATACAGGATGCAGGTCATGTCCACATATGAACTATACCTCTAAACAGTAGCCATTTGCTGTGGTATTTTCACCCTCTCTATCCCAGTTTGCGGGAACCATTTGTGGTAGGGTTGTCACGATACCAGCATCACGATGCTACGATACCAGATATTCCATGGCAAAAAAGAAAACAGGAATTAGACTAAACTCTATGGTCCTATAAAAACCTACTGTATGTTCAATTGTGGGTGCTATAGCTTGCCAATTAAACTAATGTCACTCTAACATTAGGACTGTCTTCTTCAAGAAAATAAATCCGCTTCATGTTTTGTTTCCTTCCGAATATCGCGATACTGGTATCGTGATAAACCTAATTTGTGGTATTTTACCTCTCTGTACATATTGCAGTTTGCAGGTTTTGTTTGTGTCTAGAACGGATGGTTAATAGTCAATTCCCAAACATGTCAGTAGAAATGGCTTCACAACCCCCTTCAAGCCCCATGTGTTGCATGAGATAGTGGCTGTTTATTCCTTGGCTTAGTGAAATTGGACGGCTCCATCCTTTCTGTTGTCTTTGTGTGTGTGTGTGTGTGTGTGTGTGTGTGTAGGAGAGGATGCTCTGCATGGTGCTAGACAAGGACCCAGACGTGGCGGTGGAAGCTGTCCAGCTGCTGCTGCTCCTCCAACAGTGAGTGTCTCTGTGTGTGTGTGTGTGTGTGTATGTGTGCGTCTGTGAACGTCTGCCAGCAAATGTTTGCCGTTATGGAAATCTATGGTGTGTATGATGTGTGTAAATGTGTGGTGGCTATGTGAATTTCTTGTATGTGCTTATTTTTTGGTTCACACAGTAATAGATTGATGTGTGTGCGCATGAGTGATTGTGTTGCATTTACTCTGTAAATAATGTGTGTGTGTGTGCAGAAGGACAGAGGAGGGCTTGTCCGAGGAGGAGTGTAGCCATGTGTATCCTTTGGTCTTTGCCTCCCGCAGAGGCCTGGCATCTGCTGCTGGTGCCTTCCTCTACCACAAGTCAGTCATCTCTCCATTTCACATGATATCCTTTATCCTCTAGCCATCCCTACCAGTATCACTTAGTAATATCAATCTATCGTGTGTGGTTGGGTGTGTCAGGCTGTGTTGTGCGATGAGCAGCAAGCCACAGGAGGCAGACATGGGCAGTCGCCGGGCCGCCTTCTTCAACCTGCTGGTCTCCTTCTACATCCAGAGTGAGGTAAAGAAAGATGCTTCTCTCTCTCTCTCTCTCTCTCTCTCTCTCTCTCCTGTCTCTCTCTCTCTCTCTCTCCTCTCTCTCTCTCTCTCTCTCCTGTCTCTCTCTCTCTCCTCTCTCCTGTCTCTCTTCTCTCCTGTCTCTCTCTCTCTCTCTCTTTCTCTCCTGTCTCTCTCTCTCTCCTGTCTCTGTCTCTCGCTCTCCTGTCTCTCTCTCTCTCTCTCTCTCTCTCTCTCTCTCTCCTGTCTCTCTCGCTCTCCTGTCTCTGTCTCTCGCTCTCCTGTCTCCATCTCTCTCTCTCTCTTCCCCTCCTGTCTCTCTCTCTCTTCTGTCTCTTTCTCTTTTATTCTCTCTCACTTTCTCTAATTCAATACAGTTCTGGGTCAAACACTTTTGCCTGGCTTAATTCATGAAAATACAATAAAAACGTTTGAAATAAATAGCTTTTCCTTTTCAGTTTATTAGGAGGACATTGACAATAATTGCCTTTTTATTTATTTATTTATTATTATTACAGTTTACTTCTGGAATTGACTGATCTAAATTCAAATTGATCCCAACCCTTCAATATACTGCAACACCACAACAAACTCTCACCTTCATTCCTCCACCTCTTTTCTCCCTCCCCTGTCTCTGTGTGTCAGTTCCATGAGCACGGGGCCTACCTGGTGGACAGTCTGTGGGGTGTAGCAGGCTCTGAGCTGAGGGACTGGGACACCATGACATCACTGCTGGTACAGGAGGCTGGCCAGGGACAAGGTACAGAGTTTGTTCAACGTTTACCTGACGACAACCATGTCGGTCGAAACGTTACATTTCAATCACTCATAGCTCTTAAAGGATCACTTATTGTGAGCAAACAGTGAGCGGACATTGTTGTTGTAAACCACTAGTAATGGACGTTGTTGTTGTAAACCACTGGTAATGGACGTTGTTGTTGTAAACCACTGGTAATGGACGTTGTTGTTGTAAACCACTGGTAATGGAAATAATTTAAAATGCAACCTATTTTCTGACCAGTGAATTAACGTTCCCTCTCTTTCATTGTTTTTCTTATTTTTTTCACTCTCTAATGTCGAATTTCTGCCCCCTCTTCCTCTTTCCTGCTTTTCTTTCCTTGACTGCCCTGATCTCTTTCCTCCCTCTTCTCTACTTCTTTCCTCTCCCTCCTTCCCCGACTGTCCTCTTTCTATCCCTCACCTCGTTCTCCTTCCCCCTCTCTCTCTCTGTGTGTGTGTGTCAGGTCTGGTGGATGAGGAGGAGGGGGCGTTGATAGAGTTGATGATGTGTGCTGTCAGACAGGCAGCTGAGGGACACCCACCCGTAGGCAGAGCTCAGGCCAAGAAGGTGACCCACCACCCACACCACACCAATACTAAACTATCAGACAGGAAAAAGACTGCAGGGTCACTAAATTGCATTGACAAGAGTGGTTGTGTGTGTGTTAGATCTTGAGCATGAAGGATAAGAAGATCCAAGCCCAGGACAAGAGACGCATCACCACCCATTTCATCACCCTCCTGCCCCAGCTGCTGGCCAAGGTAATGACAAAGAGCATATTGATACCGCTGCATGATAAACCATTAGAAATTGATCCTAACACACCTGTCACTCAAACCCATCAACACATGCTACTTCCCTAGCATGTTTAACGGTTAGTTCTTTTTTTCTTGATTGTTTGAGTTATTTATTTTATTTGTTTGATGTTACAAACATATCTCTGCTTCTAAGCTTTTTTAAACTTGATTTGTCATTATGTCACACAGTACTCGGCGGACGTGGAGAAAGTGACCAGCCTTCTGAAGGCTCCGCTTCATTTTGACCTGGAGACCTACAGCAGCACTGGTAGACTGGAGAAGGTGATAGAGAGAGACAGGAGAGAGAGGGAGACAGGAGAGAGAGGGAGACAGGAGAGAGAGAGAGACAGGAGAGAGAGAGAGAGACAGGAGAGCGAGAGAGACAGTGGAGAGAGAGAGACAGGGGAGAGAGAGAGACAGGAGAGAGAGAGACAGGAGAGAGAGAGACAGGAGAGAGAGAGAGACAGGAGAGAGAGAGGGGAGAGAGACAGGAGAGAGAGAGAGACAGGAGAGTGAGAGAGACAGGAGAGACAGGAGAGTGAGAGAGGGAGACAGGAGAGGGAGACAGGAGAGGGAGACAGGAGAGGGAGACAGGAGAGGGAGACAGGAGAGCGAGAGAGAGAGAGACAGGAGAGAGAGCGAGAGAGACAGGAGAGAGGAGAGAGAGCGAGAGAGAGACAGGAGGAGCGAGAGGAGACAGGAGAGAGAGAGACAGGAGAGAGAGCGAGAGAGACAGGAGAGAGGAGAGAGCGAGAGAGAGACAGGAGGGAGAGCGAGAGAGAGACAGGAGAGAGAGAGAGATACAGGAGAGAGAGAGAGACAGGAGAGAGAGACAGGAGAGAGAGACAGGAGAGAGAGAGAGACAGGAGAGAGACAGGAGAGAGAGAGAGAGAGAGAGACAGGAGGAGAGAGAGAGAGACAGGAGAGAGACAGGAGAGAGAGACAGGAGAGAGAGAGAGAGAGACAGGAGAGAGAGAGAGAGAGACAGGAGAGAGAGAGAGAGAGACAGGAGAGAGACAGGAGAGAGAGCGAGAGAGACAGGAGAGCGGAGAGAGAGAGGCAGGAGGGAGAGCGAGAGAGAGAGAGAGACAGGAGAGAGAGAGCTAGAAAGAAAGGAGAGAGCGAGAGAGACAGGAGAGCGAGAGAGACAGGAGAGCGAGAGAGACTGGAGAGACTGTAGAGAGAGAGAGAGAGAGAGAGAGCAGTGGTTCTCAACTGTTTAAAAAAAAAAAATTAATTACTCTGACACTACTCCTACCTTCTCCCACTCAAAACCTTTCGCGACTCACCAGTTGAGAATCGCTCGCATAGAGAGCACCTTTTACACAGCTGCTCCCCCTGTAGGCTAAAATACAACATTACACAAGAGTTGTCAACTCAAGTCACATGACTTGGACTCAAGCACAACTTCTCTGTTTATTCCCTCCCCCCCTTCAGTATCTGGATCTGCTGCTGGCCCAGGTGTGTGGCATCGTGGAGAAGCACACGGAGTCTGGTGTTTTGGAGGCGTGTGCCCGTGTGGCGTGTGCCCTCTGCCACGACAAGTACACCTTCTCCGGCCGTGCCGACCTGGTCGTCAGCCAGCTACTGGACAGTCTGACTGACCGCTTCAGCTCCCACCTCAACGAGCTGCTGCAGGTACACACACACACACACACACACACTTTTGAAGCATGTTGGTGATGTTCTAACCCTCCCTCTATCTCTGTGCTCAGGGCACTGCTGATGAAGATGAGGTGTACAGTGCTGCCACTGCCCTGACGAGGATCGCAGCCTTCAGCAGGTACACTAGTGGTGTGTGTGCACGCGCATGGTTGTTAGACTGATGCTGAGGTGTGTATGTGTGTTTTCAGTGCCAAGGACCTGACTTCATGGAAGCTGTTTGAGCCCTGCTTTCAGCTGCTGAAGAGTGGAGTGGAGTCCAGAGACATCGACAAAGAGGTGTGTGTCCATGTACACACTCACTGACACACACACACACACACACACACATTGACACAAACATACACTGACACACACACTCACACTGACACACACACACACTGACACACACACACACTGACACACACACACACTGACACACACACACTGTCACACACACACACTGTCACACACTGACACACAAACACACACTGACACACACTGACACACACACACACACTTATTGAACATTGCAGGAAAAAGTGTCATGTAAAATAACCAAACTCCATCAGTGTTGTCCCATGTCGTTTCAGCTGATGGTTCCTGCTCTGAAGTGTGCAGCGTTCCACGTGCTCTGGGAGAAAGTCAGGGTGGCCAACTCTACACCAACCAAGGTACCCATCTCATAGCATGGCACTGACCACCTGCCTTCTCTACCCACTGAGTTAGACCATGGCACTGCCCGCCTGCCTTCTCTACCCACTGAGTTAGAGCATGGCACTGCCCACCTGCCCTCTCTACCCACTGAGTTAGAGCATGGCACTGCCCGCCTGCCTTCTCTACCCACTGAGTAGAGCATGGCACAGCGACACTCACAGGCTCAGTCTCACACACAGATACACACATGCAGACAGTTATGACTAGGCATTCACATGTTGTGATTACCCAAGCTTGAGCCCCGGCATAAACATAAACACAGATAAATCATTTTCTTGGTACTGCTTAGTCACTGTCTGTCACTCTGTTGTTCTCAATCTGTTGCTCTGTCCCCCTCTCTCTCTCCCTCACACACACACATCATGTACACACGTATCTGCACATTCACATGTACACATGCACCATTCTTTCACACACCCCTCCAAGGCAGAGGTAAAGCGTCTGAAGAAGGAGGTGCGTTCGTTCTGCATCGTGTGTCAGAGCTGCCTGTCTGTGGGCCAGCCAGAGATCAGAGACCAGGTTAGCAGAGGGGAGGGGGGGTATTGATAGATGACCCTTTTCAATTTTATTGAATTGGAAATTTCAGTTTACTTCTTGAATTGACTGCCTTCAGTTCGAATTGACCTCAACCCTGTTGAACACACACAGACAGATATTTTCAAATGACTTCTGAACTGAACAGGAGAAGCCATTTATGCCAAGTTTTTCCCCTTTATAATATGGGCCAAGTTTTTACCCTTTATAATATGTTTAATTCATCACTTGACTGACATCAATTGTAATTGAGCCCAAACCCTGGTGCTGGAGGGTGTGTTGATGTGTTGTGTGTCTCCCTTGTCAGGCGTTTGAGCTGCTGTGTGACCTGCTGCTGTTGTTTGGTGTGAGCTCGGTGAGGTCTCACCCCACTTTGCAGCCGCTGGCCCACCCCCCCTCCGACTCCCTCCGCTTCGACATGGCTGCCTTCCTCCTCGACTACGTCTTCACTGAGCCTGACGACGACCAACTGTCCGGTAGGGCAACCATCACAACTACACTACCTACACCAAGATGGCACCCTACTCCCTATTTAGTGTACTACTTTTGACCTGGGCCCTCTCTTTCTCTCTTCTCACCCCCTGCCATCTCTCTCCCCCTCCCTCTCTTCTTTCTCCAGGTGAGGCAGAGGGAGAGGAGGAGGTGAAGATGGCTACTCTCCAGCGGCGGCGCAACCAGCTGGCCGGCTACTGTAAACTGGTTATCTACGGCATCCTGGACCTCAGCACTGCCACTGACGTCTTCAAATACTACAGCAAGGTAGAGGAGAGAGGAGAGAGAGAGAGAGAGAGAGATGTCGGGGGGAGAGAGATGAGAGAGAGAGATGCGTAGAGAGGAGATCGGAGAATGAGAGAGATGCGTAGAGAGAGAGATCGGAGAGAGAGATGCAGAGAGATGCAGAGAGAGAGAGAGAGAGATAGACGTGAGAGAGAGATCGAGAGGTAGACCGAGAGATGAGAGAGAGAACAGAGAGATGCAGAGAGAGAGAGAGTGAACGAGGAGATGCGAGTGGAGAGGTGACGAGAGGGTGAACCAGAGAGATGGAGAGAGAGTAGAACCGAGAGATGGAGAGGTAGAACCAGGAGAGATGGAGAGGTAGACATGAGAGTAAACCAGAGAGATGGAGAGGTAGAACCAGAGAGATGCGGAGAGGTAGAACCAGAGAGATACAGAGAGGTAGAACCAGAGAGATGGAGAGAGGTAGAACCAGAGAGATGGAGAGAGGTAGAACCGGAGCAGAGATGGAGAGGTAGAACCAGAGAGATGAGAGAATGAGGTAGAACCAGAGAGATGAGAGAGATGGAGAGTAGAACCAGAGAGATGACAGAGAATGGAGAGGTAGAACCAGAGAGATCGGAGAGTAACCAGAGAGATGGAGAGGTAGAACCAGAGAGATGGAGAGAGGTAGAACCAGAGAGATGGAGAGGGTAGAACCAGAGAGATGGAGAGGTAGAACAGAGAAGATACAGAGAGATGGAGAGGTAGAACCAGAGAGATGGGAGTAGAACCAGAGAGATGGAGAGTAGAACAGAGAAGAGAGTACCAGAGATGGAGAGGTAGAACCAGAGAGATGGAGAGGTAGAACCAGAGAGATGGAGAGGTAGAACCAGAGGGAGAGGTAGAACCAGAGAGATGGAGAGGTAGAACCAGAGAGATGCAGAGAGATGCAGAGAGGTAGAACCAGAGAGATGCAGAGAGATGGGAGGGAAGAATCAGAGAGATGGAAGAGTAGAACCAGAGAATACATGAATGAGGTAGAACCAGGAAGATACAGAGATGGTAGAGGTAGAACCAGGGCAGGGAGATCAGAGAGATGGAGAGGTAGAACAAGAGATGCATGGCAAAGGAGTGAAGAGATGGAGAGGTAGAACCAGAGAGATGCAGAGAGATGGAGAGGTAGAACCAGAGAGATGGAGAGGTAGAACCAGAGAGATGGAGAGGTAGAACCAGAGAGATACAGAGAGGTAGAACCAGAGAGATACAGAGAGGTGGAGAGGTAGAACCAGAGAGATGGAGAGGTAGAACCAGAGAGATACAGAGAGATGGAACCATAGAAATAGAATTAATCATTGTAAATCTAGAGGTAGAACCATTGAAATAGAATGAATCATTGTAATTCTAGTGGTATAACCATGGAGAGGGTGACAGTCTTGTCTACTTCCTCTAGTTCTACAAAGACTATGGTGACATCATCAAGGAGACTCTGAGCAAAACCAAGATGATCAGTCCAGTGCAGAGCGCCAAGACGGTCTGCCTGAGTCTGCAGCAGGTGTGTGCATGGGTAAATTAAAGAATATCTTTGTTACAGATATACTATATATTAATATATTACTAATTGTGTGTGTGTGTGTCAGTTGTTCTCAGCGCTGGCTCCAGAGAGCGTTGGTGGAGGCCAGGAGTTTGGGGAGATCAGAGAGCTAGCTAAAAGGCTGGCCATGAGCTTCGGCATAGACCTGCACCGCATCCGCAAACCACTGGTGTCCCTGCACATGTCAGTCAAACACACACATGCTAAATGTCAATATATAAATCAATATTTGTATTGTCCCAATTGAGAAATTCATTGTGCAGCCAGTAATTTACAGAAACATACACACACTTGACAAAAAATCAGTTTATGTCTAGCTGGTATGTAGAACAAAGTGTTCTCTATTGGTCAGGGATGGTATCCGGTTTGCGTTACGGGAGGCAGGAGAGGAGGAGCAACCCCCCAACCTGCCCTTCCTTGAGATACTCAGCGAGTTCAGTTTCAAACTCCTACGTCAGGACCGAGCCCAGCTGTGAGTCACACACACACACAACAACTACACACATCTAAGGATATGCATGTCCTTTTCCTCACATTTCACACACCCAAAAGAAACACAAATAGAGCTATCCATTTGTTTCAGATCTACATGAAGTGCCTAGAGGATAGTCATGGCCTGAGTCTATTTCTCCCTCCCTCCCTCTCTCCCTCCCTCCATCTCCCTCCCTCCATCTCTCCCTCTCCCTCTCTCCCTCTCTCCCCCTCCCTCCCTCTCTCTCTCTCTCTCTCTACGCCCTACTCTCTCTCTCTCTCTCCTCTCTCTCTCTCTCTCTCTCTCTCTCTCTCTCTCTCTCTCTCTCTCTCTCTCTCTCTCAGGTCAGCTTTCCTGAGTGCTGAGTGTGGCTCTCCTGCCCCCTCCTGGCCATCTCTGAGGATGTACCAGCGCTCTCTGCAGTCTGGCTCCTCCAAGCCCCGAGAGGAGGGGGAGAGGAGCGCCACGCTGTCCCCCCACAGCACCCCCGCAGCCAAACGCAGGAGGACCACCCCCCAGGGTCAGCAGCACACACACGTATTAGTAACAAAGAGATAAAAGTATAGAGAGGTGATTATTGCCCTGATGAACCAGAATTCCAGATTTTTGTGACCCACCTTTCTACAACCCCTGGCCTAATGTAGTTGATCTAATGTGTTCAGAGGGGATGGCTTGGACCATTTGAAAAGGTGACGGGTTTGCTTAAAAAAAGGGTTGGATAGGTGGAGTTTGGGAGCTGAGCAGAGATCTAGGAGTTTTAACCCACAGAAATCCTATAAAAATCATGAGTTGTACTGTATATGTAATTCTATGGTTTGAACCCCTGACCTCTCCTCCAGGGTCAGTGTCCAGCGCTAGCAGAGGGCAATGGCTGGACAGCAGCAGTATCCACAGCAACCTGGCCACCCCAGGCCTCACCTCCACCGTGCAGAGACAGCCGTCCAATCAGCTGCCCGTCACACATAATACACACGCCTCCACCACAGGCTCCGACAAGGGCAGCATCATCTCCGAACCCGAGTCTGATGAGGACTTGTCAGTGGGGTAACTTTCACACCTTTTACCTTAAAAGACTAAACTAAAAACTAACTAAATGTTTTTTCCATAGCTATACTACCCTACTTATTTGCTTAGTGGAGCTAAAATATTTAATTTGGCTCTCTACTCCAGCATTTTGGATTTAAGATTAAATGTTTTATATGAGGCAACAGTACAGAATGTAATATTTTATTTGAGGGTATTTTCATATATATCTGTTTTACCGTTTAGAAATTAATGCACTTTATATATCTAGTCCCCCCATTTGAAGGTGTCATAAGTATTTGGACAAATTCACTTATAGTGTATTAAATTTAGTCACGTTTAGTATTTGGTCCCATATTCCTAGCAGGCAATGATTACATCAAGCTTGTGACTCTACAAATTGGTTGGCTGGATTTGCAGTTTGTTTTGGTTGTGTTTCAGATTATTTTGTGCCCTATTGAAATGAATGGTAAATAATGTATTGTGTCATTTTGGAGTCACTTTTATTGTCAATAAGAATGTAATATGTTTCTAAACACTTCTACATTAATGTGGATGCTACCATGATTACGGATATTCCTGAATGAATCGTGAATAATGATGAGTGAGAAATTTACAGAGGCACAAATATCATACCCCCAAGACATGCTAACCATTCACCATTACAATAACAGGGGAGGTTAGATATTTTTTGGGGGGGTGTATGATATTTATGCCTTTAACTTTCTCACTCAATATCCACAGCAGTATCCACAGCAACCTGGCCACCCCTGGCCTCACCTCCACCATGCAGAGACAGCCGTCCAATCAGCTGCCCGTCACACATAATATACACGCCTCCACCACAGGCTCCGATAAGGGCAGCATCATCTCCGAACCCGAGTCTGATGAGGACTTTTCAGAGGGGTAACTTTCTCACCATTTACCCTAAAAAGAAAACAAAATTACCTAGATATGTATCTACTTTTTCCTTTGTTTCTTTCTTTCCTGGCAATTCCTCCCCCCTTTCTCTGTCTGAAAACATTTACATTTGAGTCATTTAGAAAGACGCTCTTATCCAGAGTGACTTACAGTAAGTGCATTCAACTAAAGTAGCTAAACAATCACATATCACAATCACTGAGTAAAACCTTCTCCAAAAATATAAGCAATCTGCAAAATTAGTGCTAGTAACAAAATACAATTGTAAATGCAGGGAAACCCCTTACCCCTTACCTTAGATCCTACTGGTGTTTGCAGATGGGAAGAGACTGGATAGGTGTATGCAATATGAAGGAAGCTCCCCATAAACCACTGGAAGGAGAGGTGGAGCCATCATATTCCTTACACCTATCCAATCTCTTCCTATTTGCAAACACCAGTAGTATATACCAGGATATAATCAAATTTTTTAAATTACTATTTAATACTTTTTTTTTTTGGGGGGGGGGGCATATTTTTTCTGTTACAGACAATGTGTTACTTGCATAACCAAACTCCCCTGAGACACCAGCAGGGAGTGGGGTCACCACTGTCAAGCGCCCCTGGAGCAATTAGGGTTAAGTGCCTTGCTCAAGGCCACAGAGACAGATTTTTCACCTCGTCGGCTCTGGTATTCGAACCAGCGACCTCTCGGTTACTGGCCCAACACTCTAATCTCGAGGCCACCTGCCACCCATTTGAGTTAATTTATGTATTGAAAAGTGCATTCAAAATGTAATTTATTATTATTATTGTTATTAAACCTGTCCAGTTTGTTCAGATCTACAATCACTGAAGAGGGAAGGGGCTAGGGGTTGTTCCTTTCTGAATATGTTTTGACTTTGTATCTTGTCCAGTTCACTGCAGCGCAAGGTGGAACCCAGGCGAAGGAGCAAGTTGCCTATTGCACAAGCCAGCCCCTCTGCGCACTGTGACCTCGAATCACATCTCACCATGTGAGTGTGTTTTTGCATGAGTGTGTGTTTTGTGTGTTTTGTGTGTTTGCGTGTGTGTTTAGGGAGAAAGCAACAATTATTGTATCTGATCATGTAATGTGCATACAATCTTGCTTCCAATTTCACTTAACAAAGTTATATTAACATAAAAAGAGAATTGATGTGGCTGCATTGGGGGGGTTTTCTGTTACATTTGAAAGAGTTTGTGGTTTGAAAGACCCATATACAATATGTGTTATTAGGCTGAGTCTGATTGAGGAAGATGACGATGAGGATGATGAGGTGGAGGAAAAAGAGCCTGAGATTGAGGACTTTGAGAGTGACGATTCTGACCACGACACCGCCTTTACACTGGTAAAACACAAGCCCACTCAGAGTTGTTGGTGCACTGACCCTAAAATGTCTACCATTGTTGCTATTCCTTTGTTCCTTCATCTCTCTTTTTTCTCCAGCCGTCCACCCGTCGATCCACCAGTTACTTAGAGGAGTTGTTTCAGTGAGGGAAAGGACCCCAACACAGTAACAAGAAGAACACCACATATAGGAGAAGATTTGGAGAAGTCCTGATAGTCTTTACGTTGGTATCCCTCAGACAGGCATTTTAGGGTTATTAAACAGTACATAACATTGTTACATTTGTTGTAAGCTGTTAGTATTTTTGATGTTGTATTAATAAAATACAGGTGCCTTAGCATTATGAATGTTTCAAAGATGCAATGTGAAAAATATCTTCATGGCTCATGTAGGAATTGTTTGACACGTGGTGTTTTTTTTTTTTTTTCTTGTTTATTAATTTGTGGTTGTGTTTCCAACTGTTAAATGAGCACTAATTTAATATGTATCAATAAATAACCAATTTTCTGAGGATATTTCTTCTGTTGTTTATTGAAACAGAGGAAAGTTGAGCTTTTAATGAAAGAAGGGGAAATTGTGTGTTAATGCGTGTTCGTTTACTTCCATTCCATCATCTTCATGATGTGTGATCAAATGATGATGTAGTCATTGATTAACCATATATGGCAAGTTGGAATTATTGAAATACTGAAGAAATGCAATAATGCATCCTTCCTTTTAACTTTCACTGATCTGAGTTTCCAAGACTACTTCAAAGATGGGGGGGGGGTGGTGCTGAAGAGTTTTTATTTATTTAATAAAGCCCTTTTGTGGGGAAAAGTCATTCTGATTGGCTGGGCCTGGCTCCCAGTGGGTGGGCCTATGCCCACTGAAGGCTGCGCAGTCATGTGAAATCCATCGATTAGGCCCTAATGATTTTATTTCAATTGACTGATTTCCTTCTATGAACTGTAACTCAGTAAAATTTGTTGCGTTTATATTTTTGTACAGTATAAATTTTTTACGCACAGAATTTTCACGAGGGTTTGATTCGAGGTCATTGCTAGAAAGCATGAAACGCAATCAAAATTTTTCGCGCCACCGATGACGTAGTGTACCAGTTTGTTGAATCATGTGACCACCCCATCGCCGCAATTTTCGCGCCACAGCGAAGCCACGCCTTTTGTAACAGAAATATGCGTTTTGATTGGAGCTTGCAGACGACAGACTCGCGCCAGTTTTTGCTGTTGGACATCCAACTTGGTGAATGAGTTGTCTCCCGGTGCAGAAAGAAAAAAAGAAATTGTTAAAAATATATATATATAATAACTGATACTTAGTCAATTTGGGTCAAAGTCAAGCTACATTACCCAACCATTCGACATATTTCATCTGGAATCATGGCTCCTAAGGATTATTTAGCTGAGAAAGGTATGTTGTAATTTACTAGCTTGCTGAAGTTAGCTAGTAGCGCGCTAGGCACTTTCATTTTGAGTACGGAGGCTAGTAGCATGCTCACTAAAGTAACCACGTCTGAGTAACAGGGAGTGTAAGGAACCATGCTATTGGCCTTTGGAATTACTTGATAAATAGCTTGCTAACCAACATTTGATTTTATTAGCGAATATGTATGTTTTTTGGGGGGTAAATTGGTTGACTAGTTAACTAGCTAATCGGTTACTTGATGATGGTCTTTCTGACTGCTCAGCCAAGAAGCCAACAATAAGAGTTAATATCTAGCTAGTAACTACTCAACTGTAAACTGTTCAGGCTTGGTCGCCCCTAACTCAATAATGGAATAAAGGAGCCTAACGTTACTCTTATGTCTAGGGACCTTAACTACATGTTCTGTTTAAAGACTGGCTCTGGAAACCAAAACAGCCAAATACTCGTTCTAAACGAGTTACGGTTATAGAAACACAAATTCCTATACTTTGATTTAAGTGTGAGCGCGTTTATGACGTCCCTCTTACGTTTACACACGGGAGTTAGTATACGCAGATAGCTAACATTAGCTCATTAGTACAGGTAGTCGACTCTTACTTATACTTCCAAATGCATACCGCAAATTATGCGTATTAATGTTAAGGCCGAGCGTCCGGGCTCTTAAAAAAGAAAACTCCCCTTCGTCCAATGACTATGTATGGAACTGAGTCATGATCATTGGCTGTCGACCCTTACACAGCACTATCTGGCAACTTGTGAAGTTTTGGCAGTTTAAATTTTGGGCAAGTATACTGGTTGGGGGTGGCTTGCATGTTACCTAGCTAGCTTCAGTATTATTTATATATATATATATATATATTTTTTTTTTTTATGTACTAGCTTCAATTCTCAGTAACCCGGATGGAACTCAAGAGGACAAAGAATTACGCGCTAGGAGCACATGGTCCAGGGGCGGAGAAAGAGAATGCTGGGGGTTGCACTGATAGTGAACGATAAAACTCCCCAATACTAAAAAAGTGACTCAATTAATCAAAGAGAAGCGGTAACAAATTTGGTACATTTCATTTGCACAATTTGATAGTGGAATGGAATAAATGGCTTGCCAGTGGCTAGCTAGCAATCCACACGCATTTTCGCCAACGACACGCTTCTCATCCGCCGGAGTAGGCTATTCTTTGTTACAGGCAGCTGCAAGTATGGGCGTTATGTTGTTTATCCGTTCCTAGCTACTGCTGGTCTAAAGTCCACGCTAACGTAACGGTGAATTTGACCATGGCACGTCAATACACTGGTATTGAAACGGAATTATGTTTTGAAGCGATAACTAACGCAATCCCCCAGTTAAATTGGGACTATTTTATGAGCAATGGGATAGCGGATGATTCCTCGGAGTGACCAAACTCAAAGCCATGTGCTGCTTTGTTTACAAAAACATTCCAAATGCAGAATAATTTTGAAGAGATTGTTGTTTTGGCCTCTACTAAAGTAAGTCAAATATGGTTATTGTGTAGCTGGAGATTGGTTTTGTTTTGAGGTGTCTAAAATACAGAATGGTCTCAAAGTACAGTTCACATTTGTAGAGAAGTGGGGGTTATTTCCCCAAAAATAGACACGATTTTGTTGTTGGCGTGCACTGCTAACCAAACCTGTAATTGTTACCATGTTGTAAAGGTTTGAATGCACCCATTAATTTGGAAAACAACATTTGATGCCCATGTCCGAGTTAAAGGGACAGTACTTCGATGACTCATCGAGATTCTGTGGGATGCGATGTTACTCAACAAAGGGGATTGTCAGAGGACAACATAGCTTGCAGTATGTAGGCCCTGGACTGCAATGATGTTGATGGCAATTTTAAAACGACGGGGGAAAACACAAATTATACATCTCATTAACTGATAATTGTATTGAAACTGAAAGCAATTCATTGTGGATGGCGAGCTAAATTTGATTGTTCACTCAGTTTGAGACAAGTCCTCTTGTTCAGACCCAGGCTTTGCTCTGTCTATAATATTGATAATATTAAATATGCACTGTTAAATACGCTGTTGTCTCTTTCCCACAGAGAAATGCAAGAAGTTCCTTCAAGAGTTTTACAGTGAGGATGACAATGGAAAGAAGGTCTTCAAATATGGAGCTCAGCTTGTGAGTATTTTTATTTATTTATTTAACTAGGCAAGTCAGTTAAGAAGTTGTGGTCCTCTGTAGCTCAATTGGTAGAGCATGGCACTTGTAACGCCAAGGTAGTAGGTTCGATCCCCAGGACCACCAATACGTAAAAATTTATGCACACATGACTGTAAGTCGCTTTGGATAAAAGCGTCTGCGAAATGGCTTATTATTATTAAGAACACATTCTTATTTACAATGACGGCCTACACCGGCCAAACCCGGACGACGCTGGGCCAATTGTGCGCCGCCCTACGGGACTCCCAATCAGCCTGGAAGTGATACAGCCTGGAATTGAACCAGGGGGTCTGTAGTGACGCCTCAAGCACTGAGATGCAGTGCCTTAGACCGCTGGCACTGACATTCATGACCCTGTTCTGTCTGTAACACCTCAACACCAGTCTTTCTTCTTCATCATTTGTAACTTAGTCCATGATCTAATATGATAAGTGGTTCTAAACCATGAGGTGCGTAAATTATTATGGATAAAGTACTCGAAGTGAAAAACAAGTCGTCACAGTATTTGTCTGGGCGAGCCTGGAGGCCACCATATTCCTCCCCTGCCAACACACTGAATGGTTGAGTGAAAAGGCACAGTAATACATTGCATTATTTTGAAGAAGAGCACCTGAAAGCTGAAACCTATTGGTTCTACTCTTTGCAATAAATACGCTTTTTTATTTAATTACTTTTGTCCTCCCAAGTGTTGCTGAATCTCCTCGCTACCTCAGATTGCTCCTCAACTCATGCACCTTGATTGGAAAGCGAGGTAGTGGCAGTGACCCCTTGACCAATGACTGATGGGCAGGAACGGTTGTCGTTGTGTGCAGAAAAGGGCTGTGCAACAAATGTAAATATTCTATGGTCCCTGATAGCAGCCCTGTTTTCTGTAGGTTGCCCTGTCCCACAGGGAGCAGGTGGCTTTGCAAGTGGACCTGGACGATGTGGCCGAGGAGGACCCAGAGTTGGTGGAGAGCATCTGTGAGAACGCCAAACGCTATATGGGCCTGTTCGCCGATGCAGTCCACGAGCTGCTGCCTGAGTACCGCGAGAGAGAGGTATTTTCTGTCCTGCTTGACTTGGATATTGATTCTGATAAGGCAGTTGCTAATCATGTTAGTTTTGAGGATTAAGTAACCTGTAAAACATTGAGTCTAACTGCCCCAATACCCGTCTCTTCTTTCTCCCAGGTGGTGGCGAAGGATTCCCTGGATGTGTACATTGAGCATAGGCTGATGATGGAGCAGAGAGGTCACGACACCGCAGACAACAGGGACCCTCGCAACCAGTACCCAGCCGAGCTCATGAGGAGATTGTAAGTTCACTTAGCTAGCATGTTTGCCATTGTCTCTGAGTTGGAACTGGACATGAACCTGGATGAATTACTTAGAAAAGTGAGAAATGAAGGACTGATTGACTGGATGCATGTTCTACAAGATACTAGCCATAGCCATTCAGCTCATGACGGCTGATTTACGTATTTAGGCAACAAGGAATAACAATTATGGCATCCCCTCTGACTGATCTCTCTCACTCAGTGAGCTCTACTTCAAACCGCCCAGCACTGCCAAACCCAAAGTGGTCCGTGATGTCCGTGCAGACAGCATTGGCCAGTTGGTGACAGTTAGGGGCATCGTGACCCGTGCCACTGAGGTCAAACCCATGATGGCAGTCGCCACTTACACCTGTGACCAGTGTGGCGCAGAGACATACCAGCCGGTAAGCGATTGGCATCCTCTTGTGGTATTTTTTTATTGTATCAACTTGTCAAGGAAACTTGATAAACTATATAAGGAAAGAAATACAGTCAGTATTGACTTGAACTCATAGGAGGGCTGGGTAAATGCATTAAACACTGTGTCCGGTACAGAAACATTTCAGATCTCTCAGTTCCTTTCCTTGTGCTAACCCAGACACCTCCCTGTCTTATCAGATCCAATCCCCCACATTCATGCCCCTCATCATGTGTCCCAGTCAAGAGTGTGTCACCAACAAGTCAGGTGGCCGCCTCTACCTCCAGACCCGAGGCTCAAAGTTCGTCAAGTTCCAGGAGCTGCGCATACAGGAACACGTAAGGACCTTTTGACTAAGGAATCTGAAATTCAGCAACACATTCAAATCACGTAGCTCTCCGGCATGACAAGTTGAAGGTAAATAAACAAGCACAAGTCAGACTAATGCGTTTGCGCTGGTTTGAAACCCTAACTAACCTGTGCCTCCATCCATCTCCAGAGTGACCAGGTTCCTGTGGGGAACATCCCCAGGAGCATGACCATCTACACCCGCGGGGAGAACACGCGTGTGGCCCAGCCCGGAGACCACGTGGCTATCGCTGGCGTCTTCCTCCCTCTGCTGCGCACTGGCTTCAGGCAGGCTGTCCAGGTGTGTGCACTCAAACACGTTACAAAGTTTCCTTAAACCTTTTTTGAGAATTATCCTAAAGTTTAACAACATTAAATACTATAAGTTGGAGAAACTGTGGAATTTTACTTGCCTGAAATGTAAAGTAAGACTTGTTCAAGCCAGAACGGCCCATAGGGCAGGAGTTTGTCTCCTGTTTCTGTAGCCTGAGGCTACTGATGTACAACTACATCCCCTGGACAGCAGGCTTCTTGGCTGGCTGAGAGGTGCTGCTGTTGTAATGTGACTGATTGTTTCTCTCCCTCTCAGGGTCTGCTTTCAGAGACGTACCTGGAGTCCCACAGCATCACTCTGATGAACAAGACCGAGGATGATGAGCTGGGCACAGCAGAGCTGAGTGAGGAAGAGCTGCGCCAGATCACAGGTGTGTGCGCATGCCTGGCGGTTCTGAAACCCCCCCCCCCCCCCAGGTTCTTAATCCTTTCAGTGATCACAGATCAATGTTGGCAGTATTATGAAGCTTATCAGAGTGGTGCCTATGTGTTTTTGGATCTGCCAACATAATTTTTATGGACTGTGGGTTGTTTTCAGACCTTTCTCATAATGTTTATCCAAAAGGGTGTTCTGACGCAAATGGACTGAGTGTAACTGAATAGTTTGGTTCATGCGCTCCTCTTACGTGCAGAGGAAGATTTCTACGAGAAGCTTGCTGGCTCCATCGCTCCTGAGATTTTTGGCCATGAAGATGTGAAGAAGGCTCTGCTGCTGCTGCTGGTTGGAGGAGTGCAGCAGGCCCCCAAGGGTATGAAGATCAGAGGTGAGCGCAATAAAACCCTTCCACTGCCCCGCAATAGCATTGTCCATTAGAATAGCTGCTTTGGCTTTAATTTTAGTTAACTGCAGTTTTGTAATGTTCTACTAATGATCCTGTTTGGCTCCTTCCAGGCAACATAAATATCTGTCTGATGGGAGACCCAGGAGTAGCCAAGTCCCAACTGCTGTCTTACATTGACCGCCTGGCTCCTCGCAGTAAGTACAATCTTCTGGAACTATCTGAAATATTTATTCTCCATGTCTCCTCTCCTTCATTTGAGCTGGTCCCCGGTCACAAAACTGGTGAAAGCAACATGCTAAATGGCCTACCGGAAATTGACTAAAAGCCTTGAACCCTTTTGCACATTTGTTGGATTAATATGTAAGGACTTTAACCTAGTATAGTCAATGAAACAGAGAGGTCCTCACTCGTATTCAAGTAAATAAAGGAATTAAGTATGATTGTATTTGGCCTCCTGTCACTATCATGGACCTAGCCATGACCATTCCCCCTGACCCCCTCCAGGCCAGTATACAACGGGCCGAGGTTCCTCAGGAGTGGGGCTGACGGCAGCGGTGATGCGTGACCCTCTCACCGGGGAGATGACCCTGGAGGGCGGAGCACTGGTGCTGGCCGACCAGGGTGTCTGCTGCATCGACGAGTTTGACAAGATGGCCGACGCCGACCGCACAGCCATCCACGAGGTGATGGAGCAGCAGACCATCTCCATCGCCAAGGTGAGCTTTCTCCTCACTCAAAGCCTTATCTGTCTGGCAACTAACACTTCAGTTGTGTAAGGCTATTCATGGATGCTTTCAGCTGGTTTTAACCAAGGAGAACTGACAAGATCTTCTACCTGTACAGCAGGTTGTTTATTTACATTTTAGTCATTTAGCAGACGCTCTTAACCCTAATTGCCCCTGTAAGTCGCTCTGGATAAGTGCCTTGCTCAAGGGCACATCGACAGATTTTTCACCAAGTCGGCTCGGTGATTAGAACCAGCGACCTTTCGTTTACTGGCACTATGCTCTTAACCACTAAGCTACCTGCCGCCCATGACTTTGTCATTAGTCTTGTCCTGGAGACGGAGCTGAGCGATTTTCCCCTTAGATGGGCCAGCTGCAAAGTCAAAATTGGCTATATTATAAAAATTCATGACCCACAATGTAGCTTTTCGGTCATCATTTAAGGTTACACATTAGGGTTAACAGTATGGTTAGGGTTAGGTTTTACTTTGACTTTGTGGTTTTGCTAGCAAGGGTCCACTCTGCAGAGCTGCCTCTGGAACAAGATTCATGACGAATAACGCTAGTCTGCCCCGATAAGACATCAAAAATGGCAGTCAAAACACTGAGCTTTTCCCATATTCAATGAGAATTAGGGTTGAATATTTTACAAATCTTCCACCCCGAGAATAAATCCCAGGTAACCCGCCAAACCGGAAGTGTCATTCAAAAGCATTATAAAGCATATAAATATGTGTGGATTTGTTTAGAGCTTAGCTTCTAACCTGATGCTACCAGAGCCATATATTAAATACATTTTGAGCCCTTCATTAAATATATTTTATGAGCCCAAGGCTCCCGAGTGGCGCAGTGGTCTAAGGCACTGCATCTCAGTGCACTACAGACCCCCTTGTTTGATTCCAGGCTGTATCACAACCGGACGTGATTGGGAGTCCCATAGGGCGGCGCACAGCGTCGTCCAGGTTTGGCCGGTGTAGGCCGTCATTGTAAATAAGAATTTGTTCTTAACTGACTTGCTTAGTTAAATAAAGGTTAAAAATATAAATAAATGATTGTGCAGTTATCCAATACATACTCTATATCAGGGGTGCTCAGACTTTAGTTACGTAGGATCTACTTTTTCCACCCTCTTCCTAACGTGTTTTACACTTTTAGCTGTAAAGTGACTTCCATATTTCATTTGAACTGTTTTTTGAAATGCCTCGACATTTCCCTTAGCAAGAGCTACGCTTGAATGGCAGATCAGACACACATTTTGAATAATCTTCCTCCCACTCACTGTGAAAGTGGTAGATTTTCGGTTTCTTGCTGCTTGGTCCAGCACTCATATTAAAAACCTAACTGCAACTTCATAGAAAAAAAACTTTAGTAAAAAAAACACAACTACCACTGGAACAACAAAGAATATTCTGTTACAGGTCTCGCAAGCGTGGAAGTGTAAACGTACTAACTGCAGACGGTTGCTATGGTAGCGACAGTTTGGAAAACAAATGAAGCTATAGTGCCACATGTTGGTCCAATTTTATGTCAATCAAAAATATATATTTGCTGTGCAGTAATATTCGACAAAGCTAACCTGTAAGCAACTCATACGGTGCTTCAGAACTGTGGACCTCATTATTTTTAAGCAGACTCGATGGTAACGCTGTAAATTGCCTAAATATATATTTTGAAAACTTTTATGTGGTCTACTAGAAGTTCGCAGTCCATCGCGATCAATTTCCTGGGCACCAATGATCTATATGATATAGGCTACTGCACATTACGCATGATAGAAAAACATAAACCCATAGCTTTTTATGCATTCAGAAAGTATTCAGACCACGTTTTCCACATTTTGTTACATTAGAGCCTTATTCTAAAATGGATGAACATTTTCCCTCATCAATCTACACACAATACCCCTTAATGACAAAGTGAAAACACACTTTTGCTATTTTATAAAAAATATACAAACCTTATTTACATAAGTATTCCGACCCTTTGCGATGAGACTCAATTGATCTCGGGTGCATCCTGTTTCCATTGATCATCCTTGATACGTTTCTACAACTTGATTGGAGGCCACCTGTGGTAAATTCAATTGATTGGACATGATTTGGAAAGGCACACACCTGTCTATATAAGGTCCGACAGTTGACAGTGCATGTCAGAGTAAAAACCAAGCCATGAGGTCCAAGGAATTGTACGTGGATTGTGTCGAGGCACAGATCTGAGGAAGAGTACCAAACTATTTCTGCAGCATTGAAGGTGTCCAAGAACACAGTGGCCTCCATCATTCTTAAATGGAAGAAGTTAGGAACCACCAAGACTCTTACATTGACATTTTAGTCATTTAGCAGATGCTCTTATCCAGAGCGACTTACAGTTAGTCACATTATTATTATACTTTTTTAATTTTTTTTTTTCATACCCCCTGTGGGAATCGAACCCACAACCCTTCCTCTTCCTAGAGTTGGCCGACTGGCCCAACTGAGCAATATTATATATAATCAGGGGAGAAGGGCCTTGGTCAGGGAGGTGACCAAGAACCCGATGGTCACCCTGACAGAGCTCCAGAGTTCCTCTGTGGAGATGGGAGATCCTTCCAGAAGGACAACCATCTCTACAGCACTCCACCAATCAGGCCTTTGTGGTACAGTGGCCAGACGTCTTCACTATTCATCTACAATGTAGATGAATAGTGAAGACGTCTGGCCACTGTACCACAAATAAAATAAAGAAAAACCCTTGAATGAGTATGTGTTCTAAAACTTTTGACCGGTAGTGTATTTGGATGACTTATAAAGTCAGGCACATTTAACGGTTAGGCTATTGATTATAGACCTAATTTAAGTTGGTTTCCTCTAAGGCAAGGGCTGTTTTCTCAGCTCCTAACTCCGCTGCTGCCTCCGCCACATTGTTCTCAACACCAATATGCTGGTTAACTTTGCTATTATACTTTATAGGAAAAGGCGCCAATTCAACAGCACACTGTGTTTCAGAACCGTGGACAGTGACCACTATCCAGCGTGGGAGGAAGCATATTTGTTATAAAATAATATAATTTGTATTTGTTGCACCATAGTTCTTACACAATATAACCATATACAATTTCAGTAGCACATGCAGTGGTGACAGTAAGTGGGTACTGTGTCCCGGCAAAATAAATAGTGGGGGTACACCATACTGGTAAAACATGAGCTTATCGCAATAATGAAAACAAAATATAAAGACAATTGTAGGCTGTTACACCATTATTTATCATTACCATATGTCAGAGGCATGAAGAATGAGCAAATTGACTTAAACGGATGGTAGGCCTTCCCTCCAAAATGAGATGTGGTTCACAGAGAACAGACATTTTGCCAAGCCGGAGATGAGTGGCGGAGCCGTGCGGACAGCAGTGGAGGCATTCTGGCATAATGACAATCGTCAAATGTCACGTTTTGGTGGTTTGTTTGCGTCTTTCCATTTGTTTGGAGGCTGGAATTATGTTGCAAGTGGATGAATTTAAAGGACCCCTTTTGAAGTGATTGACAATCCGATAAAAACATGAGTAGTTGTGTTTATGCCACAATAAAATGTAATACATTTAAAAGTTAAACGACAACTCTTTGACTAAGCCCACAGAGATGCTATTAAATTAATAGGCATTCTAAATATGTTTATGTGATTAGGACCCATGGCCGGGCCCGCCCAATAGGCAGGATTAGGCAGCCGCCTATGGTGGCAGATTGAAGAGGGAGGCATTTACTGACCAAGACGTACCTCCAACAATACATAACCCCTCACTCACATTATTCTGCCTAAAAACAAGAACTTCTCACCCAATGTCATGAGGGCTATTTAGGTGAGTGCTGATGTCGCCCCAGGCAGGGGAGCAAAATATTTAGCTTGACGGTGCCCAGCGCGCCTCTCCAGGGTGCTATTGGTGAGACGCGGCGCTCAAATTCATTTAACATACATTATGTAGCCTACGGTAGAACACGTTGAAGCCTGTGGTTTTTCTGTAGCCCATAGACTGGGGACCAAATATTTTACAATGTCATGAGACGGACACTTTCTTAATCATTAACTTATTAATGAGGAGGGATAGAAAGAGAGCGTGTGGGAGAAAGTCTACTAAAAAGGCAAGCGGGCAGACGTCAGCTTTGGAGCGAGTGCGGTATAATCAAACACAGGTGGACAGCAAATGGTGCTGAAAGTAATTCATTTACATTGTCTTCGTTTTAATTGGACTTCACTACGGGGGCTTTGTTGGAGCCTATTTCTTCCTATAAAAAAAGGTAGGCCTACCTGTTTGACACTCAATTATGCTATCCATAGATTTGTATGTGTAGCCAAATCCTTCAATACTGTCACCATGCACTCCTTAAATGCCTCTGTGTCTGGGAAGGGCTTGGAGTGTTGGGTTAAAACCAGAGCTCAAATTGAGTGAGGGTATTCCATACCCTTTGTTAATGAAAAGGGCAAAAAGGATAGCTATTTAACTCTATATTTAGAAATAAGTTTATAAAAAGTATCCAGATAATATAAAGCGTTCTATAACGATGCTTAAGTCTGTGATGCCTTATGCTAGAAACAAGATTTTAAAATGCCCACAAGACTCAACTCTGATGCATATGGGGATGTATTAATTTATCACTATGACATTCTGAAGCTGAGCTGCTGCCTTCAATATTGGAGGAGACACAAAATGGACTTTGCTATCCCTATTGATTGAGCTTTTCACTTTCTGAAAAAGAGATGTTTAAACCCAGGCAGCTTTTAGGGAAGCACTTCTGTTGTTGGGTTAAGGAACGGACGAGCAGCCAGCAGTTGAAGCTTAAATTGTTCCATGTCAGTCGAGCCTCTGTCTGGGTGGAAAGGTAACTTTTGAAAGTGCCATGCTTAGATTCATAAGGATGTCTATTTAATTATTAAACAAGACACTGGTTTGACACTGGAGAAATGTGTTAAGAATGCATTTCTCTGTCTGTTGTTCCCTGAAATGTCTATTTTCATTATCCACCTTTCTTTTGAGACTTTTTCAGAGGACATTCTTTCTCTTCAATGCAAGCAGTTTTTCCCCAATCAATGCACAAAGAAATATAACTCTTTTAATAGCGACATTGGTGATTTTTATCAGTGTAATCAGATCGAAAATATTAGAATGTTATTGACATTGAACTGACAATATAGCCTAATAACCAGATGTTTTAATTGGCCTAAGCATTGGGCTGCTATTATGTTCCACCGACTATTAGCGGATAAAAAATGGTCCCAAGGCCAAACCTATTGCCGACCTCTGCTGTACACTAGCCTATTCTAGTTTAGTGGGGATATGAGGGGGGTGGCCGTTTCTTGTCTCGCCTAGGTCGGCAGAACGTATTGCTGTCTGTAATAAAGCCCTTTTTGTGGGGGGAAAAACTCGTTCTGATTGGCTGGACCATGGCTGCACCCCTGCCCAGTTGTGTGAAGTCCATAGATTAGGGCCTAATTTATTTCCATTGACTGATTTCCTTCTATGAACTGTAACTCAGTAAAATATTTGAAATTGTTGAATGTTGCATTAATATTTTTGTTCAGGTGTGTGTGTATCCTATCTAGAACAGGATTTGATGAAGAGACTACAAGAGCGCTCACGCGTGCACTGATGTAAAGCAACGATATTCGTGTGATGGGCTGTTTTAAAACTTTGCAACTGGGCACATCACCCATGTTCACCAGGCCCAGCTGCATTACAAAATATCTTTCAAATAATAATAAAGGTGACCCCCCCCCCCCCCCCCCCCCCCCCCGAAAGCCAGAATTAAACGCGCATTCGGTCTTTATATTACTGTAGCATAGGCTCTGCTGCAGCAAATGGAGGCCTACCTGTCACAAGGAAAAAATGTTACCATGATGAGATGTTAGGTCTACATGCATTGTGAGATGTGCTCCATACTGAGATGGGCTGTCTGTCTCCACCCTGAGCGTTGATTCTTCATGCAGATGCTGTAGAGAAGACAGATTTAGACATCACATTTAATTGAACAGTTCAATTTCATGCCATGCTATTCATATAAATAATTAATTATAATTTACCGGTTTCTCGCAGTTATTTATCCCGGGAAAAGGGAGTGGTTTTGGGCGGTAAATCTCGGTAACCGGGTTCCAGCCATTCAACCCAAAGGAGAATGTGTGTGACTGACTGACTCATTCCTTTCCCTGGCCAGGCGGGCATCATGACCTCCCTCAACGCCCGCTGCTCCATCCTGGCGGCCGCTAACCCAGCCTACGGCCGCTACAACCCGCGCAAGACCATAGAGCAGAACATCCAGCTGCCAGCCGCCCTTCTCTCCCGTTTCGACCTGCTGTGGCTCATCCAGGACAAGCCTGATGCGGAGGCCGATCTCCGCCTGGCTCAGCACATCACCTATGTTCACCAGCACTGCCGCCAGCCACCCACTCACTTCACCCCCATCGATATGAAGCTCATGAGGTCAGTGGTAACAGAGCCATGTTTAACATGCACACCACATGGCAACTTATTGCACTTTGTGGTGCTGGAAGTAAAATAACCAACTATTTAGTAATCAGTGACTAGAAATGTCTCCCACATGCATGTTTTAGCTTATGTGACTAACTATGCTCTCTCTCCAGGCGTTACATCTCCCTGTGTAAGAGGCGACAGCCCGTCATACCCGAGGCGCTGGCTGATTACATCACGGCGGCCTACGTGGAGATGAGGAAGGAGGCGCGTGTCAGCAAGGACTGCACCTTCACCTCCGCCCGTACACTGCTGTCCATCCTCCGCCTCTCCACCGCCCTGGTGAGACTCCCACCCCATCCTAAGTACAGGCTCCTTCTACCCTGACTGGGGGGCATTTTAGGATGTGGAGTAAGACTGCATGGTTCGGGGGACAGTCTATTGCAGCCCAGTGTGTGCTAAAGTGCTTACAGTGCAGGTAGTGGTGATGCCCAGCCTACCCGCAGTGTGAGCACTTCTTTCACACGCTGGGCACTAGGCCTCGTGTCGACACTCATGCCCGCACTGACTTCTCTTTTCAATTACTCCTTCCTGTCCATTAAGACTGGAGGAATGTGATGCTTCTCACTCTGTGGTCTTGTAGCTCCTGGGTGTCAAAAGTGCTGTTTGTGCAGGTAGCTGACTCACCCGCCCTACTGCAAAACCAGCACTTCCCGACACCCCGTCTGCACTGTGCTACATCTGGGTGGCCACAAGAGGGCAAACCTCTGCCACTCCACTGGGTGACCCTGTACTTATTGAAAAGGAAAAGGTGCAACCCTTGCTCACCATTAGAAATGCATTGTTTTATTTAAGCACGGTTAAAAGATTAATGTTTCTGCTTTCATCTGAATAATCACACAAAGGAGATGGACATGTTCATATAAGGCATGGGTGTTTTGTAGACTACAGGTTGGTCCTCACGGGTACTGTGGTCTGTCTCCACCTGGTGGTAGAATTCAGAAAAGGGTCAAACAATTAGGAAGACTAGGCAAGCGTATTTCCACTGCAGGAGAAATTGATGTAAAACCACTACTGTCGAATACATCAACAGCATAGGCAAAAAGGACTAACACTACTGATTTTTAAACAACAGTTGGTGAGCTAGTGAGCAGGTACAAATGACTTCAATAGGCAATGTTTGACTTTGTTAAAGGGGGGGGGGGGGGTTGACCCAGTACTTACCCCAGTACTTACCCCAGTACTTACCCAACTTCTGTCATGCTTCTTCCATGCCCTTTATGGAGTTTGTGCTGAATTAATATTGTCATAATTGTACTCAAGCCTGGGCATAGTTAATGTGTGTTAATCTGTACGTTTTCCTGTCTGGTCCCAGTCAGCTTTGCAGGGTAGGCAGTCAGCCTGTGTTTGTAGGAGCAGCTGTGCAAACCCATGCAAAACTGACTGTGACAGGAGCCAGTCGTCGCTTGTTGCTTGTTACCTGAAACTGTGACAGGAACCAGCCGTCGCTTGTTGCTTGTTACCTGAAACTGTGACAGGAACCAGCCGTCGCTTGTTACCTGAAAGCCTCCTACAATACAACCATGGCATGTACTAAATACAGCCACCATCACTGTTTTACTGATTCCTATTGTGTTGATTGACTGTCAAGCCTCCTCCATTGGGAGAGACTAGCTGGTGTTGAGAGGCGGAGACTTGGGCAATTGCCAGCCATTCCAGAGGGCATTGCACTTGTCTCGGTCTGACAGTGCCGGCCCAGCGCGACCTACGATGTCTGAAAGACACTAACAGTTGAATATTGCATTTATTTTTGGTGTGTGTTCTGTGCTGTAGCCTATATAGCTACCTGACCTGTGGTCCCGCTACCCCCTCCTCCCTCCTCTCGTCACAGGCCCGTCTGCGGCTGGTGGACGTGGTGGAGAAAGAGGACGTGAACGAGGCGATGAGGCTAATGGAAATGTCCAAGGACTCCCTGCAGGCCGACAAGTCCAGCACCACCAGGTCAGCTCCTCTCCTCCTCTGTGGGAAACTGCCAACAAGACAGTCCCCGATGATGCTGTTATGCTTTAATAAGATCTCTGAGTGGATGCCTTTGGGTGAGGATTGGGTTATAGCAGAGTAGGGGGATGACTTCAGATTTAATAGGTATTCAGGAGCTATGCCAGAAGTGGTTCCATGCCCAGAAGGAGGTGCTTAAATTCCAGGGTTTTTACTGCCTTCGGTTCACACGACAGTGTGTTTACTGGAGAAGACCTTAAATCCTGTAGAAATGTCAGCCGATAAGTGCTTCGCCACACGTCCCTGTTGACTTCAAATGTTTTGTCACATACTACTGTGCTAGTCTACCTGGAGGGATTCAAAGGAGTTGATGATGGGAAGATGTAAGCATGTTGCACTGTATGTTTCGGAAGAGGCATGGCTATATGGCCAAGTGCATTTGAAGCACAGTTTAGGTCAACGCAATTTCCTGTACGTTTAATTGGACATTGATTTGATCCTGTCAGATATGCATTCTGTTTCTGAACAGACCAGTCTGTAGGCCCGAATTTGTGGGTTTCACCCCAAACCCTGATCAAATTCCACGACTTCGGACCCTGAACCTTTTTTTGATCCCATTGTTTTCCAGAGCCCATCGGCCAGCGGATGTTATCTTCTCCCTGCTGCGTGAGCTGGCCACGGAGGGTGTGAAGGGCCGTGGTGGGTCCGGGGGCCTGGTGCGCATGGCAGAGGCCGAACAGCGGTGCGTTTCCCGTGGCTTCACCCCTGCCCAGTTCCAGGAGGCCCTGGAGGAGTATGAAGAGCTCAACGTGTGGCAAGTCAACCAGGCCCGCACCCGCATCACCTTCGTCTAAAGCAGGGCGGTTCAATTCTGGTCCTAGAGGGCCAAAACACTTGTTTTCTTGTTTCTACCTGGTATTTCATTTTACTCACCTGGTGTCCCAGGTCTGAATTAGTCCCTGATTAGATGGAGAGGCCTTCCAGGACCAACATTAAGCTCCCTTCACAGCCACAGGCCTCTTTCACCCAAACCCGGTCAAGGGCTCTGCCTGTGACGAGATGCCTAATGGGCTACTGACTGCAATGGGACCCCCTTTGTGTGTCCCCATCCATACAATCACGACCAATAATTAAATGCAAACATGCATGGTGGTCTCTTGGCTTTGTTTCGCAACAGTTAAATGTTGCTTACTGTGGGGGTTTTGCTTACTTGGCTATCAAGTGCTTTAAACAAAAAAAAAAATTTAGTTGGCTGTTCTCAAATAAAACTCTGTAAATACAATTATTTCATATGCAATCTGTTTGACTCTTTCAACCTCTTGTATTAAGTATACAATGGTTATTGGAGTAGGCCTTTAGCTCTTTAGTTAAATCAATGCCTGGAGTTTCACTGACATTTTTGAGCTTCTGTGTTACACGTGTTTAATATTAGACAACTTTAATATTCTTCAGCTATAGGGGAATTAATGGACAATACTTTGAATGAATGCTTGTACATTATGAATGTCAGTGTTAATAAATTCATGGCTTATAACTTGGTTTGTGTCTGGTGTTACACAGACCGTACACACTTTGTCTAACTATTCCTATAGTTTTAAATCTATCAAAAGCTTTTCTCCTTTCCTAATACATCATGATCTTGTGCCACATGGTTATTTGACACAGCAGGCTACTGTACAGTATGTAGGTCACTGTCAGCCCTCTGACTAAAATAATTTTGTTTCTGTACATGTGGAAAGAAAAGCTGTAAATGGCCCTGACACCTGGTTTGTTTTAGGATCAGTCTTGCTGTGTAGGCGGTAATTGCTGCTTTAAGTAGCGCCTGTCCATGGTTGTCTCGCTTGTAACTACAATTAATACTATTAAGCATGTTTTTGTCAAACTTCTGTGGACGTATGAACACGCAATATAGGCCTATTAAAATCCGCTGTCCAGGGAAATGTAAAACTGTTCTACAGTAAACCTGAGTTGATTGATAACCCAGGTGAGATTTGAATTGGGTCCATAACCCGAGGGGAATTGATGTATGGTCTACGGTTTGTTTTGCACAATAGGACAGCGTCGTCTCAGGTGTTCGTTCTAATCCATCATTGAAATTATACACCTGTCGCAGAAAGGCGGCTATTTCCCCACCGTGCACAGACCTTTTGGGGGGCATGTGTTCAAACAAACCGCAGTCAGACTCGTTGACCAATTGCACGAGGGGAAAGCCGCACAATCTGATGACTCAACTATTTTTGAACTGGAATAAATGCTGCACTTATTAACATTGACCAACACGATTCCAATCAAAATAGAAAATGGTAAGAAATACTGTAGCCTACGATTACTATAGCCTGTCCAACCCAACTCAATTTGTTGGTTTTCAAACTTTTTGGCCCGCAAACCCCAAAAAGGAGGGAAGGAGAAACATGACCCCCGCTCACGCACAGGCGAACATGAGCGCTTGTGCGCAAATGTAGCTTGTCAGTACAGCCATAAACGGTGATGCATATTCAAAACGCAAGATAGGCTACAGAAATAAACTGTGTTTTACACCAATATTTGGAGCTGAAAGTAATTCATGTTAGCAGCCAATATCAACTAGGGATATATAATGTCACTGCTCTGGAGTCCAGAGGAAGGTAAATCATATGGCCTAATTGTAGCGGAGGTTGCAGGATCCGATGGAAGGCATGTTCTGTCTGCACCGCACCATCATGTTGAAGGGCATCCTGTCTGTAGAATGCTCGTTGCCAGCTGGGTAGCCCTGTTCTACCTTAGAAATATCGTAATAAATTCGCCAGAATGTTACATCTTAATCCCATAATATTGAAGGCGATGTTAAAGCTGCTTATCTTTAGAGACATCGCCAGTAGACACCCAAACTAGGCCAATCTGAAATAGGACAATTCTCAATCGCCAGGTAGCCTATTGTTCTGGCAAAGATGCGTCCGTATTAGATTGTTAAACTGTATTTTATGTGGGTGATAAACGTAGGCCTACTTTGTTTTTGCTGGGCAAAACTGGAGGACTGAAACAAGCTCTTTCTGGTCACTTATCTGGATATGCGCGCCACTGGTTGGGTCAACAACCAACTTGTTGGTTCTGAAGCATAGATGAGAATTTAACCACGACTTGTGTGCAGGGGGTTCGGTAACAACTACAAAAAATATAATTTTTGGGGAAAGGGCACTTTGGAGACTGGAAGGGGCATGTGCTCTGCCAGTTCGGCTGCATATGAAAAGATTGCCCCCATTGGTGTGAACTTTAGATGGAAAAATGAAATATATCAACAAGAAATGTATCATTTGAAGTTTTAGTGTGGGCATGTAGACAGAAAAACAGGTGTCCCACGGCTTGGTCAGATGGAGCCATATATCAGGACATTTCAACACACTGCACACAGACCTGTATATAATGCTCAGTTGCATACCACACATGTTGTATATTACCACACATTTTGTTGTATATTATTGTCATTTTCTACACATTCTTGGCTTCATTCTATTGTAGGCCTAGATTGCTTGGGTCCACTTTTGGAAATTCTAGTTTTGCCCTGATGAAAAGGCTATAAGGTTTTTTCCTAACTTGGCAATATTTTCTCCCAGGGATGCCCTGCTATTTCTACTCAGCAGGTAATGTTTCCTCCCAGACTTAACTGTGAGTTTCCATTTGAAGTCGGGACTTTTTATGACTTTGCTGCTCAAGTCCAGGAGTTTTTATTCTTAATTGGCGCCAGAGGCTATGCATTAAAATAGCATTTAAAAGGAAGGAGGAGCCAATATTATGGTTGTGTGATTCTATTGGACAGGCACTCATATGGCAGAGTGTTTGACATGGAGACCTATATTTATCACACCATCACCGGTACAGTGAAGACAGCAGCCCATGCACAGGTGAGTACGGAGTTTCTTCTTTAGCACATTATGATCTGATCATTTAAGTAATATTAAGCACCATAATCAGTATATTTTCTAAACTGCAGGAAGAAGCATCATTTTACACAGAGATTGCATCTTATCTCTCCTTTTATATATTTCCATGCTGTTCAATACTGAGGATAACAAAATATATGCTGTTTGTTCACAGGACATGTTATAATCTATTGCTGTTTGAATGTAATTATTTGCATCTGTCATCTGGTATTTGGTCTGCATGGTTTAATTACATTTGGGGATAGGGTATTCTTAGAACATATTGAGATGCATGTATTGCATGTGAAGATCAGATCTTTAACAGTTTCCAAGTTAAAACAAAATATATAAAATGTCATGTTAATTGTCCACTCGAAAATTAAAACAACAATGTGACATTTAGATTTTTAGTTTTAGCTTGAAACTGTTATAGGTCACATGTAAATAGATACATCTCAGTATGTACATTTCTTTAAATCACATATGTCAATGCTCACTGAAAAACAAAACAATTGAAGCAAGATGTACAATGCAAGTGATAAAATGCAATGGCTGGTTTGCAGGTGGTCAAGATGATTTCTCCATTGTGGCTGGTGGGGGCAATATGCTGTCTGACGTTGCTCCCAGGTGGGATAACGTGCTTTCACGTTACATGAGTTTGGTGAAATGAAAATTATTGAAATGATTGTCCTAAGTAAATAGAATATATTCCATGTGGCATTGGATGATAACTGACTGATGAGTCTTTGGCATGTGTATCCTCTGCAGTTTGGCTGGAGGCAAAGTCTCTGTTGAATACCATCAAGCAGGAAGGTAACTGAATGTTTAGGGAGGATTACATTTCAAGTTTTTACATTCAAGCTTCTTGATACAATTATGTGTAGTACCAATGCTTTACTTTTGTTTCGATACTGAAAGCAACATATCTATGGTAGCTATAAATAGCAGTAGGCGTCATGTCTTTCTCCCTCTGTCTCTCTGGCTTTGCTCTCCCTCTCCTCTGACCCACCTCTCCCCACAGCGATGAGCCCTGTTAGGGATGTAGGTATTGATTCGGAGAAGGCGAACGGCTTCCTGACTCACTCACGACCAAAGCGCAATGTGGAACCCAGGTGGTACAGAGGCAACCCCGACTTCCAGGCTTACTACCGCTACTACAATAGCATCGGACACACAGAGGGGGTAAGAGAGGAAAGAAAACAATCACACTACGCATTAACTAATGAAGCACTAACTACTAACTAATGAAGCACTAACTACTAACTAATGAAGAACTAACTAATGAAGCACTAACTACTAACTAATGAAGAACTAACTAATGAAGCACTAACTACTAACTAATGAAGAACTAACTAATGAAGCACTAACTACTAACTAATGAAGCACTAACTAATGAAGAACTAACTACTAACGAATAAAGCACTAACTTAACTAATGAAGCACTAACTTAACTAATGAAGCACTAACTACTAACTAAAGAAGAACTAACTACTAACTAATGAAGCACTAACTACTAACAAATAAAGCACTAACTACTAATGAATGAAGCATTAACTACTAACTAATTAAGCACTAACCACCACTAACAGTAAATTAGGCATTTTTTCATCTCAAATTCTTCCATCTCTCGCTCTGTATGATTTTAAAAAATCTGGATCTTGTCTTTATTTCAATCTGTCTTGTACCTCTCAGCTGTATGAGATTGACCGGATCAGGCTGCTGTACCAGCAGATGAGGCAGCTGGAGCATGTATACGGCCCCAACGCCTCACACTTCCAGAACAAACTGGGAGTGCCCACCATCAAGTGCGACCCAGCCACGGACAAAAAATGCAAAGCCCTACCCACTCCCCCTCCCACCCCAATAAAAAGCACCTCTCAGCCCCCTCCTGCTCCGCCCCGCTCCCAGGCTGACGTCATGTACCTATGCAATGCCAAGGACCCCCTCTGCAAGCCCCATATCGTCTACCTCCCCACCGGGGCATTGCCCGTACTGTGCGACCCCCGCTACCACCCCTCATGCAACCTCCACAAGCTCCCTCCTCCACCACCACCCCCCATGCTTAAAAAATCTGCCCCACAACCACCACCCCCCGCCCCAAAAAAGTCATCTCCCCCTCCGGCCCCCATCCACACCTACAAGGGCATGGAGTATGACTGCAATCCCTACTGGGACCCGGACTGCCTGATAGACCACCCACCCAGACCCCTCCATGGCAAGGCTGGCCCACCCCCGCCTCCCATTGAGGAACAACCAGTGGAGAACCCACCACCCCCTGCAGCCAGCATCAAGAAAGTGGCACATCCCTATCCTTACCACGGTTACCCCTATAACTATGGGCATGAACTCTATGATCCGGTCCGCTTCCAGTACCCCTCACCACCTTCTGATTCCCCCGATGATGGTGGTAGTGACTAGCCCATCAAAGCTCTAAAGGCATTAGCTTTACTTACGCCTCAAGTGTTTTGGCAGTAATGAACAAAGAGTTGTTTTCCCCTCCAGATGTAGATTTAGAATGACAAAGCGGCACAGACCATAATTACAGGTCTTTGAGCTATCAATCATGTAAACCGTCTTATTGATGTGATGCTGTTATGGGAAGGAGAGCAAACCTATTTATACAGCAATGACCTGCAGTAGAGTTATGCTATATTACAATGACTGATGATATTGCAACAATAAGACCATCTCTGATTGATTTATTACTATCCAATGTGCCATTTGTCTATTCAGCATCCAAAATCATTATTCAGTTACACAATTTGCATAGAAAAAAAAGATAGTGACAAAGTTAATATTGACTCAAATGATGAAAAATAAACGTTTCAAAAACTGGCTCTGGGTTGTCTCTACTGAACTCTGTTTGAATGTATACCACATGCCAGTATTGCTTGTTCTGCTTGTTACTGTAGGTTTTGTGTAATTAAAAGGCAAAAATGAATATACATGGCAACAGTGAGAGCTTGAAAGAGAGGAGGATGATAAAATCCCATAGAGGAGGAAAGCTGAATCCTGTCTTTGCCACATGGCTGGTAAAAGCGGGCTATTAAAGAAAAAGTGCAGGCTGGGGGTCATTATGTTGACATCCGCTGCCTTTTAATATCCAAATAAATGCTGACCTGAAACTGTCATAACTCTGTTTCCTCCACCCCTTTCCTGTCTAACGCACCTCACACAGTACCTCCCTAAGGCCATGCACAGCAGTACCAGACTACATCAAAAAGACAGGTAACTGCAAACACATTGTCACCTCTGGCCAATAATCCTAAAAACCATGCTGACTCCACAGACCTGACTTTATATACTTGTTTTAACCTGTGGGTCTCTGTATTGTGTTGCGTTTGTGTAACTTGAGTTAGGGTACAGGCTTGAGTACAGGCTCCCTTTAAGCCAGGAACGTGGGGTCGATACCAGCTGGGGTCACCAACACGAAAATGTATGCTAGTATAACTAAAATCTTAGCCCTGTTTATACCTGGTTCTAACATGAGTCCTTTTTCCTGATCTTGTCCACATCCTGATTGTGCCCACATTTTTAGACAGGTTTACTGTAGATGATTAAAATACTCATTGTGATCAGATCTTCCTTACCACCTCCGGAGATGTAGTCAGGGGGACCCATTGTGTCTTTGACCCCTCTGCAAAACATGACTTAGTACTTGGTGGCAAAACCCTTGTTGGCAATCACAGAGGTCAGACGTTTCTTGTAGTTGGCCACCAGGTTTGCACACATCTCAGGAGGGATTTTGTCCCACTCCTCTTTGCAGATCTTCTCCAAGTCATTAAGACTTTGAGCCTGACGTTTGGCAACTCGAACCTTCAGCTCCCTCCACATATTTTCTATGGGATTAAGGTCTGGAGACTGGCTAGGCCACTCCAGGACCTTAATGTGCTTCTTCTTGAGCCACTCCTTTGTTGCCTTGGCCGTGTGTTTTGGGTCATTGTCATGCTGGAATACCCATCCACAACCCATTTTCAATGCCCTGGCTGAGGGAAGGAGGTTCTCACCCAAGATTTGACGGTACATGGCCCCGTCCATCGTCCCTTTGATGCGGTGAAGTTGTCCTGTCCCCTTAGCAGAAAAACACCCCCAAAGCATAATGTTTCCACCTCCATGTTTGACGGTGGGGATGGTGTTCTTGGGGTCATAGGCAGCATTCCTCCTCCTCCAAACACGGCGAGTTGAGTTGATGCCAAAGAGCTCGATTTTGGTCTCATCTGACCACAACACTTTCACCCAATTCTCCTCTGAATCATTCAGATGTTCATTGGCAAACTTCAGATGGGCCTGTATATGTGCTTTCTTGAGCAGGGGGACCTTGCGGGCGCTGCAGGATTTCAGTCCTTCACGGCGTAGTGTGTTACCAATTGTTTTCTTGGTGACTATGGTCCCAGCTGCCTTGAGATCATTGACAAGATCCTCCCGTGTAGTTCTGGGCTGATTCCTCACCGTTCTCATGATCATTGCAACTCCACGAGGTGAGATCTTGCATGGAGCCCCAGGCCGAGGGAGATTGACAGTTCTTTTGTGTTTCTTCCATTTGCGAATAATCGCACCAACTGTTGTCACCTTCTCACCAAGCTGCTTGCCGATGGTCTTGTAGCCCATTCCAGCCTTGTGTAGGTCTACAATCTTGTCCCTGACATCCTTGGAGAGCTCTTTGGTCTTGGCCATGGTGGAGAGTTTGGAATCTGATTGATTGCTTCTGTGGACAGGTGTCTTTTATACAGGTAACGAGCTGAGATTAGGAGCACTCCCTTTAAGAGTGTGCTCCTAATCTCAGCTCGTTACCTGTATAAAAGAAACCTGGGAGCCAGAAATCTTTCTGATTGAGAGGGGGTCAAATACTTATTTCCCTCATTAAAATGGAAATCAATTTATAACATTTTTGACATGCGTTTTTCTGGATTTTTTTGTTGTTATTCTGTCTCTCACTGTTCAAATAAACCTACCATTAAAATTATAGACTGATCATTTCTTTGTCAGTGGGCAAACGTACAAAATCAGCAGGGGATCAAATACTTTTTTCCCTCACTGTATCTTACAAGTATAGACGGATCTGGACAGTGAAATCATTTAAATCATAGTTATCCTGCCCTCAACTCATTTACAGGTGACACGCAATTGACTTATGGCATCAATATGTCTTAAATAAATACATATTATTTTGAAAGAATACACTCTATATGCAAAAGTATGTGGACACCCCTTCAAATGAGTGGATTCGGCTATTTCAGCCACACCCGTTGCTGACAGGTGTATAAAATCGAGCACACAGCCATGCAATCTCCATAGACAAACATTGGCAGTAGAATGGCCTTACTGAAGAGCTCGGTGACTTTCAATGTGGCAGCACCATCATAGGATGCCATCTTTCCAAGTCAGTTCGTCAAATTTCTACCCTGCTAGAGCTGCCCCGGTCAACTGTAAGTACTGTTAATGTGAAGTGGAAATGTCTAGGAGCAACAACGGCTCAGCCGCAAAGTGGTAGACCACACAAACTCACAGAACGGGACCGCCGAGTGCTGAAGCGCGTAAAAATCGTCTGTCCTTGGTTGCAACACTCACGACCGAGTTCCAAACTGCCTCTGGAAGCAACGTCAGCACAATACAGTGAGGGAAAAAAGTATTTGATCCCCTGCTGATTTTGTACGTTTGCCCACTGACAAAGAAATGATCAGTCTATAATTTTAATGATAGGTTTATTTGAACAGGGAGAGACAGAATAACAACAAAAAAATCCAGAAAAACGCATGTCAAAAATGTTATAAATTGATTTGCATTTTAATGAGGGAAATAAGTATTTGACCCCCTCTCAATCAGAAAGATTTCTGGCTCCCAGGTTTCTTTTATACAGGTAACGAGCTGAGATTAGGAGCACACTCTTAAAGGGAGTGCTCCAAATCTCAGGTCGTTACCTGTATAAAAGACACCGGTCCACAGAAGCAATCAATCAGATTCCAAACTCTCCACCATGGCCAAGACCAAAGAGCTCTCCAAGGATGTCAGGGACAAGATTGTAGACCTACACAAGGCTGGAATGGGCTACAAGACCATCGGCAAGCAGCTTGGTGAGAAGGTGACAACAGTTGGTGCGATTATTCGCAAATGGAGGAAACACAAAAGAACTGTCAATCTCCCTCGGCCTGGGGCTCTATGCAAGATCTCACCTCGTGGAGTTGCAATGATCATGAGAACGGTGAGGAATCAGCCCAGAACTACACGGGAGGATCTTGTCAATGATCTCAAGGCAGCTGGGACCATAGTCACCAAGAAAACAATTGGTAACACACTACGCCGTGAAGGACTGAAATCCTGCAGCGCCTGCAAGGTCCCCCTGCTCAAGAAAGCACATATACAGGGCAGTCTGAAGTTTGCCAATGAACATCTGAATGATTCAAAGGAGAACTGGGTGAAAGTGTTGTAGTCAGATGAGACCAAAATCGAGCTCTTTGGCATCAACTCAACTCGCTGTGTTTGGAGGAGAAGGAATGCTGCCTATGACCCCAAGAACACCATCCCCACCGTCAAACATGGAGGTGGAAACATTATGCTTTGGGGGTGTTTTTCTGCTAAGGGGACAGGACAACTTCACCGCATCAAAGGGACGATGGACGGGGCCATGTACCGTCAAATCTTGGGTGAGAACCTCCTTCCCTCAGCCAGGGCATTGAAAATGGGTCGTGGATGGGTATTCCAGCATGACAATGACCCAAAACACACGGCCAAGGCAACAAAGGAGTGGCTCAAGAAGAAGCACATTAAGGTCCTGGAGTGGCCTAGCCAGTCTCCAGACCTTAATCCCATAGAAAATCTGTGGAGGGAGCTGAAGGTTCGAGTTGCCAAACGTCAGCCTCGAAACCTTAATGATTTGGAGAAGATCTGCAAAGAGGAGTGGAACAAAATCCCTCCTGAGATGTGTGCAAACCTGGTGGCCAACTACAAGAAACGTCTGACCTCTGTGATTGCCAACAAGGGTTTTGCCACCAAGTACTAAGTCATGTTTTGCAGAGGGGTCAAATACTTATTTCCCTCATAAAAATGCTAATCAATTTATAATATTTTTGACATGCGTTTTTCTGGATTTTGTTGTTGTTATTCTGTCTCTCACTGTTCAAATAAACCTACCATTAAAATTATAGACTGATCATGTCTTTGTCAGTGGGCAAATGTACAAAATCAGCAGGGGATCAAATACTTTTTTCCCTCACTGTAACTGTTCGTCGGGAGCTTCATGAAATGGATTTCCATGGCCGAGCAGCCGCACACAAGCCTAAGATCACCATGCGCAATGCCAAGCGTCGGCTGAAGTGGTGTAAAGCTCGCCACCATTGGACTCTGGAGCAGTGGAAACACGTTCTCTGGAGGGATGAATTACGCTTCACCATCTGGCAGTCCGACAGACAAATCTAGGTTTGGCGGATGCCAGGAGCACGCTACCTTCCCCAATTAATAGTGCCAACTGTAAAGTTTGGTGGAGGAGAAATAAGTCTGTGGCTGTTTTTCATGGTTCGGGCTAGGGCCCTTAGTTTCAGTGAAGGGAAATCTTAACGTTACAGCATACAATGACATTCTAGACAAATCTGTGCTTCCAAATTTGTGGTAACAGTTTGGGGAAGGTCCTTTCCTGTTTCAGCATGAAAATGCCCCCATGCACAAAGCAAGGTCCATACAGAAATGGTTTATCAAGATCAGTGTGGAAGAACTTGACTGGCCTTCACAGAACCCTGACCTCAACCCCATCAGGATTAATTGGAATGCTGACTGCGAGCCAGGCCTAATTGCCCAACATCAGTGCCCGACCTCACTAATGCGCTTGTGGCTGAATGGAAGCAAGTCCCAGCAGCAATGTTCCAACATCTAGTGGAAACCCCTCCCAGAAGAGTGGAGGCTGTTATAGAAGCAAAGAGGGGACCAACTCCATATTACTGCCCATGATTTTGGAATGAGATGCTCGACGAGCAGGTGTCCACATACATGGTCATGTAGTGTATTTGTCAAATAATTTGCATACAGGGAGGGGCCAGGATATCTGGTCACAACGCGGACAGATTTGATTTACTATGTGTAGATGCAATGGCTACAATGTGGGCACAATCATAACGTGAATAAGATCAGGACAAAGGACACATGTTAGCACCAGGTATAAACAAGGCTCTTGAGTAATTGCGTCAAATACCAGTTATGTTACGCATCTGTCAACTAGATGGACGTAAGCACTACTGTAGTGCTGAATATGAATCTGTTAGCTATAATTTTCATTGATAAATGGCCATATTTTACTTTTATTGGACAAACAGAAATCAAAGTCCCATGAAAAATCAGCAGATTATTTATTACAACAAAACAAAGAAAAAGGGGAAATTGTCATTTCTGTTCACGTACATGGATTCACAAATGTCAAACTGCGAGTGAGAATGTGAGTGATTATGTACACGGTTTCCTTCTTCCTGTTTGTGTGTGATTTTATGGTATAGACAAGAGGCCTTTGAGACACTTCTAGCATTTGCTACCTTTGAAAACAAACTGAATGCTCACTGGTATCTGAGTGTGTGTGTCAAGAGTGTTACTTAACATAAAATACAGACAAGCAAATGGAAAAGCAGTGCTTGTGACCTCTTCATCTCTTCCTCCAATCACTCGCTTTCTCTCGGTGTCGCTCAAAAGAACAGTCCTCTCATCCTCCGGCCGATGCCCTGTCTATCGTACAAGACGTTGAACTTGTTGATGAACTGGTTCATGCTATTACAGGTCTTAGTGATGGTACCTAGGTAAGCCATGAGGCCCACATCATTGCATTGCTGAAAAAAGCGAGAAAGAAGGAGATTAACATGCTTTTACAGTACCGTGCCAATCCAACCTGTCTAAGCGTTCTCAAATCATTACATTACCCTTATTGAGTGATTTAAAGAAGGAATTTTGTCAAGGTTTTATTCATTCAAAACAACGTATGTTAACTATCCTGCAGACTATCACATTACCAAGACTATAATCTAAAAACAAAAGGCACACGTTCACACCAGTAGCTGAGTTTTGCCAAGTGCCTAGGTGGGGACGACTTACATCATAGAAGTCCGTCTTGAATTTGATGGTGCTGAGAACGGGTAGTCTATGGCACAGGGCGTTGGCTTCTCTGAGGATCTCGTGGTTAAATGGCACCTCTCCTGGGTCGTAACAAATCAGAAGGGGAGAGTTAACAAGAGAGAGCATGAGGGAAGAATATACACACAACAGGTGAGATAAGATACAGTTGGGATATACCAAGGAGGAGGAGAGAGAGGGTTGAAAGACCATATAGTCATTTTTTTTAAAGCAATGGCTGGAAACTATCTGTTAGTAACAGCATCTTCTTTCCAGAGTCACTCATTCTTTCATCACACAACAGAGACAGTGGTTCTCTCACCTGCTTCCACTGCTTTGACATATTCCAGGATGACTTTCACCCTGCTGTGGAGCATTTTAATTGCACTGTGTTGTGCTATGAGATGTTCGGCCACTGAACAGAAAAGAGACACATAATGGGGAGAGGGTGTTTAAAAATGCCTGTCAGACAGACCACTGGGGGGGTGGGGGGGGTTGTTAACAGACCACCTTAACTATAGTTACCTGTTGAATTCTCCCCCGTGCCTGTGGCTGTCATGCGAGCCACGTGGTCCACTCCGATTCGCTCCGCCTCTTCTGTGGCCAGAGTGTACCCCAGCTCAGCAAACAACATGGTCGCCTGGGATGGGGCAAGTCAGAAGGACAGCTAAGCAACAAATCAGCCACTAGTACTAATCACAGTGGTGTTTGTGTGTCAGGGTTTCCGTTAGCCGGTAATTGCAACAAAAAAATTATAATTAGAAACTAAGCCTATAAATAAAATTGTTGCCGGCCAAATTGACCGGGAGAAAAACAATGCTAGGCACACCAAACATTAGGGGTTCAACAAGGGTTCTTCTAAGATCCTCAAAGTTATTAGAAGAACCTTAGGGTTCTTGGCACTGAAAATGTCCCCCAAAAGGTTATTCCATGAACCCCATAGGAGGTGGAGTTCATTGAGGAACCTAACTGCCCAACTGAAACATTTGGATTTGAAAGGACAGCAGGTGCAGGCACTTAACTGAAAAACTTAAAGATCTCAATTTAAGGTAAGGTTTGTCCCTTGTATGATCTAAATTTATATATTTTAATGGTGATACCATCTATCTTTTCATATTTGTGCAAATCTTTCTAAAAACAGAAAATGGACACAATTCAATGGATATCAATCAACAGAGGTAAGAATATGTTGAAGGCTCGCTGTATTGGGTGCGCTGTATGATGGAACTGCTCACTTTTGTATCTGTGTCTGCAGGTATACAGACGAGGAGGCATACAAAGGTATGTCATGTAGATCACATTTACTATCCTCCTTCCTTACCTCGTCAATGAATATCCCATAGGCCTCTACATTATGGACAAGGTATGTGTATGAAAACCATTATCAAAACAGTTGTTTTTTCATTCACATTTACCACAAAAAACAAGATTTGAATTCTGTTGTGTGCATGTTTTGTTAATCATCTGTATAATTACTATTTTTGGGATTGACAGACTTCACCATCCCTACACCTCTGATGAATATAACAGGAAACCTGTTCAATCATCATGCGCTGCAAAATCATTCTGGCTATGGATACTGAGAACATCAACACACGAGAGGATATACCTCGTAAAAAATAATAATATACCCATTGGCCTTGGGGCTCTGCTGGGAGTTTACCTCATATTTAGATTTTTTATTCTGCTTTGCCACTAAAATCATAATAAACACAGAACAAAAATATTGTGATATTGTTAATTGTTATTATTGTTATGCTTATTATTAATAATAATGATGGGGGGGTAGTTAAAAAATTAACCCCAAAAGGTTATTTGAGGATCCTTTTAAAGGGTTCTTCAAAGAACTTAAAGGGGTTCCCCCACAGTTTCAATTTGAAGAACCCCTTTTAATGTAAGGTCCAGGAACCTTTTCTTTTTAGAGTGCAGGCTATCAGCAGATCACCCACCACTTTACAAAGTGAGCTGGAGGCAGTATGCATTTTCAAAACATACTTAACTGTTTGAACCCTGAATGTTTTACTATGAGGCATGTCTTATCTTTGTTGAAAATTTGACTATAAAAACATGGATGCAATTATTTTATAAAGACTTCATAGGCGGCGTGTGAGTTTCAAGTTAAGGGAAGCATACAATTTATCCTATAATTTCTTCCGATCTGCATGGCAGTTATGATTTTCATATGCGCATTTTCGTGGAACAGTTTAATTTCAATAATAACATTTTCAATAATTTGTACTATTTTATACATTGTAAAATAATAGTGAAGACATCAAAACTATGAAATAACACATATGGAATCATGTAGTAACCAAAAAAGTGTTAAACAAATCAAAATAGATTTTATATTTGAGATTCTTCAGAGTAGCCACACTTTGCCTTGATGACAGCTTTGCACACTCTTGGCATTCTCTCATCCAGCTTCATGAGGTATTCACCTGGAATGCATTAAAATTATCAGGTGTGCCTTGTTAAAAGTTAATTTGTGGAATGTATTTCCTTCTTAATGCTTTTGAGCCAATCAGTTGTGTTGTGACAAGGTAGGGGTGGTATTCAGAAGATAGCCCTATTTGGTAAAAGACCAAGTCCATATTATTGCAAGAACAGCTCAAATAAGCAAAGAGAAACGACAGTCCATCATTACTTTAAGACATGAAGGTCAGTCAATCCGGAACATTTTAAGAACTTTGAAAGTTTCTTCAAGTGCAGTCACAAAAACCATCAAGCGCTATGATGAAACTGGCTCTCATGAGGACCGCAACAGGAATGGAAGACCCAGGGTTACCTCTGCTGCAGAGGATAAGTTCATTAGAGTTACCAGCCTCAGATTGCAGCACAAATAATTGCTTCACAGAGTTCAAGTAACAGACACATCTCAACATCAACTGTTCAGAGGAGACTGCGTGAATCAGGCCTTCGTGGTTGAATTGCTGCAAAGAAACCACTACTAAAGGATACCAATAATAAGAAGAGACTTGCTTTGGCCAAGAAACACGAGCAATGGACATTAGAGCAATGGAAATCTGTCATTTGGTCTGATGAGTCCAAAGCAAATTTGAGATTTTTGGTTCCAACATCCATGTCTTTGTGAAACGCAGAGTAGGTGAACGGATGATCTCCGCATGTGTGGTTCCCACCGTGAAGCATGGAGGAGGTGGTGTGATGGTGCTTTGCTGGTGACACTGTCTGTGATTTATTTGGAAATTCAAAGGCACACTTAACCAGCATGGCTACCACAGCATTATGCAGCGATACGCCATCCCATCTGGTTTGCACTTAGCTGCCTCCACAACCACCCGAACTCAACCCAATTGAGATGGTCTGGGATGAGTTGGACCGCAGAGTGAAGGAAAAGCAGCCAACAAGTGAGAATTCCTTCAAGACTGTAGGAAAAGCATTCCTCATGAAGCTGGTTGAGAGAATGCCAAGAGTGTGCAAAGCTGTCATCAAGGCAGTGTGCCTACTTTGAAGAATCTCAAATATATTTTGATTATCACTTTTTTGGTTACTACATGATTCCATATGTGTTATTTCATAGTTTTGATGTCTTCACTATTATTCTACAATGTAGAAAATAGTAAAAAATAAAGAAAAACCCTTGGTGTGTCCAAACTTTTGACTGGTACTGTATATTAGATGCTTATCACTAATCAGCTAGGCCTTTTGCCAAGCGCGCTGCCTATGAAAGACTTCCATTTCTCTCCTGTTCTTGGTTTTCATATCAATATTCTTTCGTTGTCCAGAAGCCAAAGGCACAATCCTAGTCATATTAGCAACCCATCCTAGTTGTTACATCTTTACATTCACCCTCTTTCTACGTTTCTAACAGAGATTTTAATCTCTGTCATATACCGCTGGCATCAGGTGAGCTGTTTAGAATGGTGTTTTTTACCGCAAATTGCATTTTGGCAAATGTTTGAAAATTACGTTTTATAAGCCGCTTCATTACTGGAGTTGCATGTTCTGTTAAGATGAATTACCATAATCTAAATGTGATTTCTGTAATTCTGAGCACCGTGGTTGGACGCTCTAATGAGTTATGCACCCAATGCATATGGGTCCGGTAAATTTCTCAAATGGCCGGTAAATTAAAATCTTCCCTGTCACGTTGTCCAGTGCCACATTTTCCTAACGGAAATCCTGGTGTGTGTGTGTATATGTGGTAGGAGAGCTTGAGTTACCTCTCCGCTGATGACGTCGATGACAGACTCATACACACTGACAGGGAGCTGGGGGAGACAGGACATATGCTTCAATTACCATATGTAGAGAAGCGATTTTTACTGCATCAAAGCCATGTAACTGTCTGACATAAAAGTAACTAACAATGTAATTTAAGAATAATGTTTTCGACATTAAAAATATATATATTTAAATGATATTTAAAAATCCAAATGAGAAACTCACATCTGTGTGTTTGGTCATCGGGTTGAGCTTGAGGAAGAGAGGACTCTCAATGATCTCACACACCTGAAGTGAAAAGAGGAAAAGACAATAAGGAAACAGCACACAGTTGGCCAAATAACCTCAACTGACTGACATTTACATCTTTCAAATCACAACAATTCATTGACCAATTACAGTAAAAGTTACTTTTATCATGCCTCTAATTTCTCCCCCATGGAAAACACCCAACCTCATGGAAAATAAATGTAGTCTCCTTTGCTCCACCTACCTGCTTGTGAATGTGGATGTCTGATTGGTCACAAGGACCACCTGTGGTATACCAGCCCAGGAATTCCATGTCCTTGAAGACCTGTTTGACTGAAAGAAAGCAGAGGTCATGAGGTCAGGTGCAGTATGAATTCCATGTCCATGAAGACCTCTTTGACTGAGAGACAGAGGTCAAGAGTCGTATGAATCAAGCAGAGTAGGAATGCCGATCTAGGATCAGGTCCCCCCACTAATGTAATCTTATTCACTGTGATCTAAAAGGCAAAACTGACCCTAGACCAGTGCTTCTACTAACGTTCAGTTCCACTTATAACACCAAGGGCTTCAGGTACAAGCCCTACTATTACATTTTTCCACTTCATAGATGGTGGGAAACCATGACACGGCACTGCACATCATCACTACTTTTTATCTTGCACTTTCACCAACATCAGTAATCAATGGGGAGTAAGTGGCATCTGACCTTTTCTTTGTAAGGTAGGTTAGTGAAATTAGACTCACACTGCTCCTCCTTCGTGTAGTAATACTCCTTGTCAATGTGTGCTCGGTCATCTACCAATTGATGAAGCAGCTCAAAGGAGTTCATCACCTCAATGTTTCTACCCTCCTGCTTCCCGATTAATGCGCCGATCACTTGGTGAGAAGGAAAGGATTTAATGCAACATAAGACAGCTGATTGGAATGGATACACATATAGGCTATAGCAAAGCCCATTGAAATTGTGTCATTAACTGTAACCTCTCCCTTGTATGATTCCCTTCCCACTGTTGAGGTATTGATTCTCTTGTAGAGTCTTAACCAGTTGAATTAGTGTCTTAACTTTATTCAAAGTATTTCAACTTTAAGACATTTACAGAGCAATATACTGAACCAATCTCCCATCCCCTTGTCCATTATTCCATGCCAAATGCAAGACTGTATACAACTATCTGTACTCTTGAAAACTGATCAGCTCACATACCCTGCATGGGCTGCCCCTCTTGGGAGCGGATGCGAATCCAGTGGTCTGAGATGTTTAGGATGACGAGAGGATGCAGGGCAACAGAGACACTGCCAGTGACCCCAGAGACCATAACACTGGGGCTGGCTGTGGGACAGAGAGAGAGGGTGGGTTTCCTTTACTGTTGGTCATCTCTACAGCCAAACGTAGCTAATATGGCCTTAACACGTCCACCTGCCTCAGAGCAAACAAAGCATTTGTGATCTTGTCTTGGATAATATTGTTTTCTTTAGACGATTGTTACAATATCAGCGTGCAGTTGAATTGGGGTGGATTTTAGAAATCTAACTTCACAGGAAGAGTATAGTGTTGACATTGATTCTACTCATCAGAGCTATGATTTTTCAACAATGCTATCCCAAACGACATGTTAAAAGATGTGATCATGAAACTTACTAAGAGCTTAGATAATTATAGCTAAATACTCACTAGGTGTGGAGGACCAGTTACTGCACTGTAATTAAACTAGCTAAGAAAGCAAAATAGTTAGCTAGCTAACGTTACCTAGCTATCAATTGATAAACTAACCTTAACTAGTTGTTTACATTGCCGATGTTTAGCTAAGTAATACGGATGGACCAATCAATATGTGACTGCGGTTGAGTTAGTTTGCTAACTAACAAATATTAACTGCAATTGTTTTGAAATTGCATATACCAGTAACGTTAATATACACACAAATACTGGACAGCCACCTTAACTAAATAACTAACGTTAGGTAGCCTCGCTGAAGTAACTTTAGAGAACGCATACGCGAAATAATGGCAAGCTAAATGAGCTAACACCATCGACAAAGGAGTATAGTTGGCACCCACACAATATTTATACAACCTTCATAATCAGATAAATCAATTGTGCTTTAAGTGAAATTATTACCTGCCCCATCCACTTCCATTCCACTACCATTGCTCGTCGCCATCTTGTCCGACTGACAGCTGCGCAAGCCCAGTAGAACAAGGCGTTTGTTCTCAAACACTAAGGGGCAGTGTTTGCTGCATTAAAACACGAGTTTTGGTGAAACATGCTTTGAAAATGATGCCGTTGTTATGCTTATTTATAATTGTTACGCCATTGTATATATATGGTACTCTCACATAAAATGTGCTAATTCGAGCATGGAGTATATCAGAACGTTTAGGAACGTTGTCACTTTAGCAACAGTTTCTGCGGGGTTTATTACTTGAATGCAACTTTAGTACGTCGGTGTATTTTGTCCGTGTACTCGACGGTACTTTTTGTTTACAAAATGGCAGACTTCAGAACTTCTACCCTCGATTACTTTCCAGAGAACATTTTAATTGATATTTTATCATATTTAGGTGTGCGAGAGCTCATCCGAACTGGAAGGTAAAACAAGTTAGCTGAAGTCGATGTGCTCAATATCAATTCTCATGATAATAACTGTAACGTTAGCTTGAAGAACACTTCTCTTTATGTCATGTCATTCATGTGGTGTATTTGCAGGGTGTGTAAGAGATGGAGACGCCTTGTAAAAGACCAAAGACTATGGCGAGTTGTTGATCTAACTGCATGGAAAGGGGTAAGAATGGTGTCCATTATTGCATGATGATCTGACCATTTCAAGACTCGGCATGAAAAGATTTGAGGCTACAACGTCTGTCTAAAGACGTCAGCCATTTTGTCACATAGCCATGTCTATTAGGTTCAAGCTACATTCAATGATATTTCAGCAGACTTGATTTTATTATTAATAAATACCTGTTTGAGGCCTCTCACATTCAGCAACAAAATGCAATGTTGATACTTGCATTGTAGACCTATTTCCAGTGTTGGGGTAAGTTACTCTGAAAATATATATAGTTTACCAAGCTACCAATTACTTCACACTGGAAGAAGTTAAAATACACTAAAGCTACCCTTAAGACAAATATAGTTTACTTAACAAAAGTGACTTTCGTGGAAAATGATCATATTCAAATCTTAAATGTCAGGCTACAAATCGCAAGATAGATGACTTTGGGGTCATATGTTAGCAGAATTTGTAATTTTGCCTATTAAACACAAAAACAGTTTCAAGTGAGAATTGGGAAGGTTGAATGCTGAAAATGAAAGGAAATGATTGTCTACTTAACCCATACTTTATTTTAGCAAAATACATAGTGTGTAGTTCCAGTAGTTAGCTACATGGCAAAAAAGTAATGGACTACTGAAAACACTACCTAGATTTGAATTTTGTTCAACTACCACCAAGCTACTGCAAAATTTAGTTAAATTACTAGTTGAACTACATGTAGTTCACTACTCCCCAACACTGCCAATTTCCTACCTGTTGACTAGCTAACTCTACAGAACTTTAAATTCATGGCTCAAACACTGATGCATTGTTTCTTCCCCCTCTCTCTCCCTCATTGGATGTTTTCATTCTTCAACTGCTCTTCCTACCCTTGGTGTCCATTTTGGGTCAGGTGACGTCGCGCATGCTGTGGGTTCTACTACGCCAGTATCTGGGCACTGGGCTCCGATGCCTGCGGCTGCGTGGCTTGCTGCTCTCTGCTAGAGGTGGGGCCTTTCTCTCAGAGTCCTGGCTCAAAGCTTTGTCCTCCAGGTGCCCCCGTCTGCGCAGTCTTTCCCTGCTGCATGCAGACCTGAGAGGCTTGCACAGTTGCCAGCTCCTGCCCACAACACTGCAGGTCCTAGAATTGCGTGGCTGCGAGCTGCCACAGGGCTTTTTCACCCAGACCCCACTCAGTCCTGAGAAACAAGCTGGAATGGCATCAACAGCTGCTACTCAGCAACAGGGACGTGGTCAAACTGGGAAAGTGCCTGCCTCCTTGTCAGGGATCGCCATTGAGACGATGGTCCTTGATAACGTGCCCTCCTTCACAGACCAGCACCTGCAGAGTCTGGCGTCTTGGTTGAGACTTAGCCGTCTAGAGCTCCGCAACGTCCTTCGTGTCACAGCAGAAGGCCTTAGGCGCAGTGCCGCTCAAGAAACTGACTCGGGCTTAAACGGGCTCTCCAGGCTCAAGTACCTGGAGATAGGGCACTTTGGCCGGCCGGGCGCCCAGCTGCAGATGGCCTCCCTGGGGCTCGGAGTGGGCTGGCTGGGCCTAGAGGAACTAAGCCTCGGCGGTAAGGAGGTGGGGCCAGGCCTGCTGTCCGCCAGCCGTCTGAGGGACCTGAAGCGCCTGCGCCTGAGATGCTGCAAGTTGAGAGAGATGCAGGTGCTACGGAGCTGCAGGACACTGCGGGACCTGCGCAGGTTGGAGTTCTGCGAGGTGTTCTTCCAGGTTTGCCCAAAGACACCAGAGAGAGAGGGAGAGGTGGAGAGGCAGGGTGAGGAGGGGAGGGAGGGTGGCACAGATAGTGGTGATGGGAGTGATGATAAACTGGATGAGAATGACCCCGTGCCAAGTCTGCGCCGCTCACTTGCTGCTCTGCTGCCACAATGTGCACTAGTGTTCACCAACTGCACCGTTACAATAACCTCAGACTAGATTACATACTGGATCTGTTACACATCTGGTTCCCTTATTCTACTGTGGTAAAACATTCCTCTCTATTCAGCCTGTTGCAAACTCACGCTTCACCTTTTCATTGACAAATGTGAAAGAGAAAAAAAAAGGTGCCCATTAGCAACAATTATAATTTAAACTTGCATACAGCTGTGCAATTCAACAAACAAGGGACAGTTAACAGGTCTAAGTGTGTGGAAGGAGGTGGTTAAACCTCAAACTCAAAAGCTTGCTACCAATGTTGTAAAATACACCAGAGAAGCATCGCAGCTACCAATAAACGATAACTTCAATCATGTACTGTAATGGCCCTGCTACACTACAGCCATTGGGGATCCAGCATTGCCATCAGCCATGGAGGTAATGCTTCCTTTGAAATCAATCAATTGCGTCGTGTCTAATGGCAAGCTCAAGAATTGCAGAGGTTCAGTTCTCGACGGCTGATGTGTGCATTCATTCCATCTTGTGAATGGAAATATCTGTGGTAGAACGTCACATTGACGGTGACGCGTGTGGCTGGAGTCTAAGTGAACCCTTTCACTATCAGAAAGGTTTCAAACTGGACGTGATCTTGTGTGTTTTGTTCCACATTTTTAGCATTCTCTGTCCTATCTTTGAGAAACTGACCAAAACAAATTGCCTTGAGGACAATAAGTGAATATGTTACAACTCGGGGGGGGGGGGGAAATAACAGCTTGGACAGTTATCAGTACGTTACTGGTATTATGCAATTTCAAAACCATTGCGGTTCATATTTGCTGTAGCCCACTATGTTCTGCTAACTGCCCCCCTAATGTCTAGGAAAAAGACACTTATCCCCACTTGAATTGTGTGATTCTCCAAAGCATTATGTTGTCTGTATTCATTAAGATACGAGAAAGTACAAAGGATAACTGTTTTAACCTTTTTCCATCAAGAAACTAATGCGGTCAATAAAATATTAGAAAATAAAAATGGCATAATGTATTTTATGTAAGTGGGAAATAATCATCTATGAATAATGTTTCAGGGTTGAACTCATATTTCTTTATATGCTTTGTAAATAATTCAGAACATTGGGATGCCATGATATTTCGGGGAGGGAAAGGCACTGTTCTTTCATGATAAAATAATTAACTGTACAAGTGAGTTCAAGTGCACAAGAGATGAAGACCATTTAGAACAGTTTTAATCCTCAAATGTGACACACAGCCATAAGACAATAGCTTAACCTAATAACAATGCAACACAAAACATTATAGATTATTTCAGCCAATAACAGATCAGTAAGCATGCAGTCATAGTGAATGGTAGTGAAATGGATTACTGAACGTGAGCGTAAATGGACAATTCTCATTGTAAGCGGTAATTTGGCAGTAGCATGTTGACTTTGAAAAGGTAAAAGAGGAGACTTAAGTTCCACTATCCGGTCGAAGTATACGTTTTAAAACAGAGGTTTGGGGTTCATGTGAAAATGCAAAGGCTGATAGTGACAGGCTGAAAGAGCCATGAGCCATGGCCAATAGCATGGTGGTAGAGCATGGCTAAAAGGCAAATGGCCAAAAAGGCTCATTATTGTTCTGAGAATAATCCAAACGACTATATAATTTACAGTGGGCTCCAAAAGTATTGTGACAGTGACACTTTTTGCTGTTTTGGCTCGGTACTCCAGCACTTTGGATTTGAAATGATACAATGACTGAGGTTAAAGTGCAGACTGTCCGTTTTAATTTGAGGGTATTTTCATCCATATCGGGTGAACTGTTTTGAAATGACAGCACTTTACATAGTCCCCCCATTTTAGGGGACCAGAAGTATTGGGACAAATTAACTTTGTGTATTAAAGGAAACCGTTGAGTGAAAATCCCAGCAGCGTTGTATGATGGGAAAATTACAATCTCTGTTATACATATGTAAAAGTTTTGATTCCGTCCCTCTCCTCACCCATACCTGGGCTTGAATCAGGGACCCTCTGCACACATCGACAACAGTCACCCTCGGAGCATCATTACCCATTGCTCCACATATAAAAAAGCCACGGCCCTTGCAGAGCAAGGGAAACAACTACTTCAAGGTCTCAGAGCAAGTGACGTCACCGATTGAAACGCTACTAGCGCGCACCGCTAACTAGCTAGCCATTTCACACCGGTTACACATATGCGCTGTATAAGCCTTCAACCTGTATTTTTCCATTGTCTATTTCTGTAATGTAAGAAGAAGCTAGTATTTTTCCACTCTTGTCTTTGTGTAACTTAGTCACAAGGCCAAAGACAAAGGGCTGTCTGAGAGTGACCAGTTTTTGGTCCATCCTGTTATTTTCGTATCTTTCAAGGGCACAGCTGTGTGGCGATATGAAGAGAACAGAGGCTACCTTGAGCAGCAGCAGCAGCTAGATAGACTAGCGTTATCACTTCTTTGTACTCTGTTCCCATCATGATCTCACACACTTGCTAAACTGCCACGTAGACAAAGGTTATAAAAGCTGAGACCCAACTCTTGTTCGTTGAGCCTTCGCTCTGCACCATTGAGTGATGATGTTAATTGCTCCAGATTTGTAAATCATATAATAAAATTGTTGTTTGAAGAATCTACAGTCTCTCTTCCTTTCTGGTTAGAATTTCCACGACAGTTGCAATTCTTGACACAGTGAAACTGATAAACCTGGCACCTTCTACCATACCCCGTTCAAAGGCACTTAAATATTATCTAGATCTATCGTTCTGTGGGTTTTCAGTCCAAACCTAATTTAACACACCTGATTCTACTCATTAGCTGCTCAACAAGACCTTAACTAGCTGAATCAGATATGCTACATTATGGTTGGACTGAAAACCTACAGGACAGTAGATCTCCAGGAAGAGGGTTGGGCAGCCCTGATCTAAACTGATTGAAGTGATTTAACAAGTGACATCAATAAGGGATCATAGCTTTCACCTGGTCTGTCATAGAAGAGCAGGTGTTCTCAAGACATTCTGCTGTTGTGGCAGAACAAGTGAGCATCGTTTTCGGTTAACTTTGCTGCTATTTGTGGTTCTAGGCCGCACCTCAGTGAATCACTTCTACCCTCCCATAATATTAGTTCTCAGATAGATACAGTATGTGTGTGCATTGTGCAATAGCCTTTACCACTGCGTAAAATGGCCACTTTCCGAATGTGTACATGTACAGTAAGTCAAAATATCTTTAATAAGAAGTAGAAGCTCAGTATTGACAAGTCATGGTAAAAACTGAGCTTGACCAGTCTTGATTAGTCGGCTCTGGAAGATCAAGGATCTTTACACGTCCCGAAGCAACTCCTGTGTTGTCTTGGCTGCATGCTTAGGGTTGTTGTCCTGTTGGAAGGTGAACCTTCGCCCCAGTCTGAGGTCCTGAGCGCTCTGGAGC